GGCGACTACATCAGACATGTGGCTTGTGCTTGGAGGGACACAGCCAGTTGTGTTGATCGGTCAGTGCGACTCTTCCTACGCTGACGACGTGGAGACCCAGCGTTCGACTCAGGGTTACTGCTTTAGTCTGGGTGCTGGTGCTGTGTCGTGGAGGTCTACACGGTCGTCGTCTGTGGCTTCGTCGAGTGTAGAGGCAGAGATCTACGCTGGTGCCATGGCGACACAGGAGCTTCGCTGGTTGACCTTCTTGCTCACCGACCTTGGTGAGCGGCCTCACTCTGCACCGACCTTGTACGCTGACAAAAAGGCCATGATCCTCCTGTGTCGAGAGTCTCGACTAAAGAGCAGAATGAGGCATATTGACGTGAAGTACTTTCTCCTTCAAGAGCTACAGCGACGCGGCCAGACACGCCTGTGACCTCAGAAGCCAACACTGCCGACATCTTCACCGAGGCCTTGGCGCCAGGTGACCACCACAAGTTCAGTATGCATCTAGGGCTTGTTGAGGTAGGCCCACAGTTGCTGTAGTGTTGCTCTTGTTGCGTGCTCTGCTTCTCATTGCCGATATATATTAATGTGCTCTCTTAAACTGCCCTTGTGGCCGCTTGCTTGTGCTCAGAATTTGTGTGGTGTCCTTGAGATCCACCATGTGCTTGCTTTGCTTCTTGTATTGACTGGTCTTGTGACCGTATGTTCACCCTGCTTGCATTGATGCCCCTCACTTAGCCTATGGGGGTGTGTCAAATGTTATAATCTGTTTTAGGCTATAGTGAGGTGCTCCTTAGTGAGTACAATTCAGTTAGGGTTTCATTGTACTGCCTTGCTTTCCTAGTTTCACCATTCTGCTACGCATCACTCTTGAGATTTAACCCATTTCCCATCAGATCCATGGACGAAGGAGATTTGCAGACGGCAGTAGCGAGCCTTGGCGATGTAAGTTGGCTGCAGCACCTGGAACTTCGCCGACGACAGAGTTTGAGTGGACAACTATGTACACCATCCATGCTTCATCAGCATCTTAAAGCTGTCGTCTACATACCTGGCGGGAGAGGCTCTGGTTTATCACTTGAAAACCAGGTAGCCTTCCGCTTCAGTGGCGAGGTGTGTTTCCGAGTTTGTGACACCACAACCCCCGCCTGTAATTTCCCTGCTCATGATTGGCTAATTAATTTCGCCAATCCCCTCCCCAACCCAACCTCACGAAATTATCGCGAAGTCGCCGAGGGTTGTTTCCCAACCGAACCAAAACACGAAACTGGCGGATTTCGCCAGTTCTGTTTGACTCCCTCGCACCTACTGATATTGGAAGCGGGTCTTTCGTAAGCAAATCAGCGTGCGTCATTGGGTGTGCATCCTAAATAACCCCGGAAAAATACCTCGATGAATGTAGACCGCAGCTTTAACGGTATCAATGATGCATGCAACCTCTTGAGCAAGAACAAAAGAAAGTCTCAGAGGTCCACTGGTGATCCCCGATTGATCCCAGGGAAGGGTTACAGGCACGTTGGCCTGGGGGGTTATGGGCGCACTCACCCGCTACACAAAAAAAGCCCTTTTATCCCAACGGTCTAGTGGTTGGGATTCTTACATGGTATCAGAGCGAAGGTCTCGGGTTCGAATCCCAGTGTGTGCACTTTGGGCATCCCAGTGTGGGGGGGTGTCAAAGGTCCACTGGTGATCCCCGATTGATCCTAGGGAAGGGTTACAGGCACGTTGGCCTGGGGGGTTATGGACGCACTCACCCGCTACACAAAAAAGCCCTTTTGTCCCAATGGTCTAGTGGTTGGGATTCTGACAGAAAGAAGCAAGATGACAGTGAAACACAGCTGGGACGCAACTTGTTTCACCAGATCCACCTCCATCCCATAAAAAAACATCAATGAAATCATCGTGGACGATTGCAGGCGTCGGCGTGATACATTGTCTTCACAGATAAACCAGATCCGCCACCAAGAGCGTTGTCGATAACTGGAGCGTTATCATCAGCCTTCCTGGATGCCTTTCCCCCAACAAGTTGCGCGAGAGGATCAGTAGGAGGGTCAGCGTCGCCGTCAACAATAGGAGGGTCGGCAGGAAGCTTGGAGGGCTAGCGTTGTCCCTTGGGAACCGTCGTGCAATGATGATGCTCCGGCAGCAGAGAGACGTGCAAGTCACGTGTGGAGGCAAATGAGTCTGATTTGCCTTAGGTCTGAGCACAACCTCTTTAAGTAACGTAGTTGATTGACTACTTCAGGCACGAGCCGCTCTTGAAGTTGGTGTTGTAAGCTCGAAGAGAAAACCTTGGGAGCGCCTTTTGAAAAAGTCATAATAAGTTCAACTCTGAACGTTGTACTTGTTGTTAGATAGCTAGAATATTTTTAACGAGTAGCCTTGAAAGTGCCTGACAAACTCCGAGGTTCACCACCCTGTAATAAGAAGAGCCAATGTCAGCAGGAATTACAGTTTTAACAGGTCTTCTAATACCGGTAGATAAGATACAGGCGAAGTTGATGGTGAAACCATATGTTTCATTGTAATGCGGATATTGTTGATCATGAACGCAGTAGATTCCATGGTGGCTGTGTGGCGGAGAGCATCCTCCCAAGCTTCAAAATTATATGAGACTGCTTCGTGTGTGTGATAGCGGTGACAAGTTGATGTAGTTGCTACTATCGAATCAATATGCAACTCCTCGCTGATAAGCAGCACCACCTATGAGCCGTACATCTGCTGAGGATGAGACACGTCGCCGTAGTATTCAGTAATAAGCGGTAATACGCCACGTGTGCTTTAGGGGCAGAAGGGTGTGATGCTTAAACTGCTGTCGATCGTCGATAAGTTATCCGACGCATCACAGCTCGCATTCCAGAGTTTAGGGGCAGTTTCAAGTAACCACTGGTGCCCCGTCAACAAACCGAGTCGCTGGTGCGACGCCGCCTTCCCGAGACGCCCAAGTGATGGGTTTCCTGGGAGAATATTACTTCGGGCTGGGCTTGCTGGTAGGAACCGAGTCAACAATGAGGGGCATAAGTAAGCGTTGGTTGCACCAGCCCGTTAGCAATAGTGGTTGTTTCACATATAAACGTTTTCTAACGAAAAGCAGTTCCAAGTTACTTGACTGGCAAATGTTTGGACTGCCCAGACGACGCCTTTTCGTAACCGAACCGCGATGCTCATCGACCTCAGGGCTGGGGGCAAACGACGGGCAAAGTCCGAGCATAAAATGTGGCTCTCGCATTGCTTCTCTCAGACTTCCGTTTCGAATAGAAACTACTCCATACATCGCCTCATAGAGCTATGGCTCCGATGAAGCTCCTCGCCCTTCTCATCCTCGCCTCCGCGCTGCTCATCGCCCTGTTTGCGCCCTCCGCTTATGCGGAATCCAACGCCGTCGTCAGCGCCCAGGATTCCGGTGAGTGATCCCGCCACTTTTGTTCAAACAAAGCAAGCAAAATTGCTATTGCTGCTTTTGCCGTAAAGTTCCGCCGCATAAAGTAAGCCAATCTACCATCGATAAAAAACCCCTTGCAGGCACCGCGCTCGCAGCCAGGCGCGCTTTGGGCGACGACCACCACCACCACGACGATGACGATCATCACCACGACGACGATCACCATCACCACGAGGAGAAGAAGGAGAAGCCAAAGCCCAAGCCTAAGCCGTCACCGCCTAAGCCGAAGCAGACGTGCATGCAGAAGTACAAGATCAAGTACGCCGCGTGCGACGACAAGGAAGAGAAGTGCGTGGCGAAGGCGACCAGTCCCGCCGAGAAGGCGATGTGCGAGGCGCAGTCGACGGCGTGCGAGCGCAAGGCGTACCGCTCGTTCAAGAACTGCAAGTACGGCAAGTGGGGGTGCAAGGACTGGTGCCTGTACCACCGCCGCCACTGCTACAAGAACGGCCGCGCGGACTGCGAGGAGAAGCACGGCGAGTGCGTGGAGGCGTGCAAGCCCAAGCCCAAGCCGTCGCCGTCGCCGTCGCCGCCCAAGAAGGAGCACCACGACGACCATCACCATCATGATGACCACGATCATCACCACCATCACCACGATGACGATCACCACCATCACCACCACGACTAGACTGCAACTTCTTGAAGACGCCATGTTGCTGCAGCATGGAATGCGACAGTGGCGAACGGCAGAGGCGGTGGGAGTAATTGTTGATGGTGTGGTTTGCGCTGGGTATGGGATGTTTGCAACGGAGGGCATGCTTGGGGGTTCCAACTCGGGAGGCAGCACAACGCCCTGTTGTGCTGCATTGCCATCCATTTCCTTTTCAATTCAGTGCCTCATGGTTGTAGTTTTGATGCTTCACCAACGCTTCAGGCTGTGCATGGGGAGTCTAGTGCCTAGGGCTGAAGGGGTTGGGGGTTTGGGAGTTGAAATCATATTGTAGTGGTCACTGAAAGTTGAGGTGGAAATAACACCTACATGTGTGTCTTGGGGAAACGACAGCACCATAGCAAACTGCATGGAATCGGTATTCATTTTCTTGAAGGCAGTCAATCTAATCCACAAAAGCAAGCTACGTACCTGTAGTTGAAGCATGTCTCACTCCCATTCTGCTTGTCCCTCCCCATCATCTGTTGACTGGACTCCTACCATATGACTCTATTCTCAGGAGCGTTCCTGTATAAGGCTTTCACGCAATCAACCTCTGGTCATTCCAGTACTGGTAACTCCTCATGACATGACACCTTCTAAACGCCGTACACTCGAAAGCAGCCTAGCCAGCTCATACCCCCCCCCTTGACCTTTGATCCTCACCTCGTGCTTACTCTTGTTTGCTCCACCAGATGTGCTCTACTTCAATGCAACACGTACGTAGGTACATCTCATTGACAGGTTCATCCCACAAACAAGAATGCTGCTGACATGCGGTTGCACAAGCTCCTACACACAAAGAATTGGCATTGGCAGCACATGATAGTTCATTGATGAAACTGGTACCCCAGCTGTAGATTCAGCAGCACACCTCCCACTTTATTCCCCAGCTAGCATGCCTGGTCAGCTGTCCAGTCACCAGGCGAATCTGAGCAAGCAGGTAGCACCTGCCCTGAATGGCACCTGCACGGCCGCCCGGCCATCATCAGGAGTGTAAGCAACCTGTGCCTCTGTCCCGTCCACTGTACACCACAACGGCTCCTTCGACGCATACAGCACAAAGCTGCCCCCTCCCCTCATTTCCACCTCCACCGTCGCTTCAGCTGCGCCTGCTCCCGGCTCCCTCGCATCTGCTTCTCTCGCTGCTGCTTTGTGTGCCTCTGTCGTGTCTGCATTCGGTGAACCTGCACCTGCAGCATCTGGGCTGGTGGCACAAGTGCCGGCACCACTGGTGTTGCTGCTGCGCACGGACAGCACGGCACCCCCTGAGTTGTACATGTTGGTCAGGCCTATCGGCGCCACTGCCACGCTTCCCACCACCTGGTGAGGGGGAATGGCAGGGTTGACGGGGGTATGGGTGGTATGGGTGTGACTGTGGGTGGACAGAGGGAGGTGATAAGCTAAAGAGATTTAGGAGAAGGGATGCGAGAAGGGATATGTGAAAGCCATGGGGCATGCAAGAAGGGGAGAAAGGGATGTGAGTACATGGTTATGGAATGCGGACATACAGTGATGGGGGCGACAGTGTAGAGCTCAAACTCATGTTTTGATTCGTTGAGTCGACTCAAAACACGACTCAAAACACGACTCATAACACGACTCATAACATGACTCAAAACACGACTCATAACACGACTCATGAGTCGACTCAAAACGCGGGCGTACAGTGATGGGGGCGACAGTGTAGAGCTCAAACTCGAGGCGATGCAGGTGCACCACCAGAGATGTGTCTGCTGGTAGACGCACCAACTCGCCTGATGGAGGCACGGGGGGGTGTGAGAGGAGGGGGTAGAATAGAGCAGCAGGTTGGTGATATTGGCTAGGTGTTGCAGGTTCAATACCCAGCAGCAACTTACAATTCAGCGATGTGTCTGCTAGTAGCCACACCAGAGGGGTGGGGGATTTAGATCAGTTGTGGTACAAACAAGTACAGGGGATGAATGTAGAACAAAAAACTTAACTTGGTGACGGTATGCCCACACGCCCCCACACAAAAGTACAAGCAGAGGGGATAAAATGCCCGCATCTTGGAATCAAGGGACTGCTTATGAGATGCATGCGGAAATCTCATGCATGGGATGCCATGAGAAGCGTGGGATAGTGTCACACCCACACGCATGCGATGCAAGATGGTGAAGGAGGGCTTCAAAACAAGATGACAGCGGCAAGCTAACAGAGTGGCGGAGCATGCTGCGACACCAGGCAGCACCCGTACCATGGTGCGCCCAGGCTAGTGTGTGGTGAAGGGCTGACTTTTGGATCGACTCAAAGGTCAGATGCTGCAACACCAGGCAACACCAATACCATGGTGCGCCCAACCCAAGTCAGTGTGCGGTAAAAGCCACGCCCTCTGACTATGCCACTCCACGCAAACTAACACCACTCCTGAGGCGCCTCAAAAGTCAAGTCAGTGTGTAATAAAGGTCACATCAGTCTGACTATGCCACTCCACGCAAACTAACACCACTCCTGAGGCGCCTCAAAAGTCAAGTCAGTGTGTAATAAAAGTCACATCAGTCTGACTATGCCACTCCACGCAAACTAACACCACTCCACACCCTCTTAAACCCATTGTTAGCTTGCCTCTGTTCCCTCTCCCCCTTCCCCTACCTCCCTCCGTCCCTCCCTCCCCTTCCTCCCTTTCCTCTGCACACCCACCTGCATTATGGGAAAACACCGCCACATCTCCCGTCCAGTCGCTGGCCGCCACGTCAGCAAGCAGGTCCACGTCAGCAGCAGCAACAGTCCCAGTAACCGCATCAGGGTCAGGGTTGTGCATGGTGTATTTGCGGCCGTCGCGGCACCACCCCGCGCCCTGGCAGTTGAACGCCCCCACCATGCCACTGCACGCGTTCATCGTCCAGATCTTGAGCATGCTGTTGGGGATAGAGGGTGGTGGGGGAAACAAGGGGTTGAGGGTTGGGAAGGGTGGAAAAGGGCAGTTGAACGCCCCCACCATGCCACTGCACGCGTTCATCATCCATATCTTGAGCATGCTGCAATGATCATAGTGGTGCGGGGAAGGGGGGGGTGGAGGGGGGAAGGTGAGGGTTGGTGATGGGGAAAAGGGAGGGGGGCCCACAGGGAAGGAGAAGGTTGGGGGTTAAGAATCGGGTGGGTGCGATGGGACAGTATAATGCGCCCACCATGCCACTGTATGCACTCCTCAGCTATATGTGTTGAGCATGACAACGATGGCCATGGCGATGGTGCCAGCAAGGAGCAAACAAGCAGAGAAGAACAGGGGAAAGTAACAGGCATGGCGTGTGGCAAGAGGCATGGCAGAGGCATGGCAGAGGCATGGCAGTGCAGCACTACAGCACCGAGAGTGACTGCACGCACTGGGTGTGGTTGACCCACCGCGTGGGATTCCACGTACCTCGTGTGGACCCGGGCAGGGTCGGCAAAGAGGCAGTCCCTGGTGGGTCAACTGCATTGTGTGACGTTTGGTAGGGGTCGTGACTGACCCACCTGCTGCCAGTGCACGCACCTGGTGTGGTCCCGGGCAGGGTCGGCAAAGAGGCAGTCCCTGGTGGGTCGGCCAGGCAGCTTGGCGCGCAGCACAGAGCCGTCTGGCAGCACCAGCTTGCGCAGCACATTGAAGTCATGCTGCCCTGGCTTGTCGCTGTGTGGGGGGTGTGGTGGGGCGAGAAGACAAGGGAGAGGAGCGGGTATGGCTTGGTGCGCAGAACAGAAGCATTGGCCAGGCAGCACCAGCTTGCGCAGCACAATGAAGTCATGCTGCCCTGGCTTGGCGCTGTAGGTGGGAAGGGAGGGGGAGGGGTGGGGGGTGAAAGGTGCAGGAGCAAGGGAGGTACGGGCAAGGTAAGCTTGGGTCGCAGCACAGCACACTGACGCTGTGCTGCTCAGGCTTGTCACTGTGGGGTGGGTGGGGGGAGGGTGGAAAAGGGAAGGGGAGGGAAGGAGAGGACAGGGAGCGAAGAAGCTACTGCTTGAGGGGATTGTGCCTGAGGTGCTTGAAGAAGCAACCGTGGGGAGATTTGAGCCCTTTGAGACAAACAGCTCATGGCACTGATATGCACGGGTGTGCGCACTGGATTGCACACCCACCGCACCAGTTCTTACGCTCAGCACCCACCTCCTTTGCGCAGCACCAACCTCCTTTGCGCAGAACCCACCCCCCATGCACATGCGCAGCAAGGAACACTCCTGAAAGCCAGCCATTCCACACACATGATACCCCACTCACACACACGGCTCGCATGTGACACTCACACAGCGCACATCCACCCACCTGACATAAACGGCGCATCCCCCCACGGCGCGTGCTGCTGCGTGGAACTCCGCTGCTGGATGCAGCGACTGGTGGTGGGTGAAGACACATGCGGGAGAAAGGGGGCAGGCAGGCAGAAGATGGGCGAGCAGGGAAGGGAGGAAGAGGGTAGTGGGGAACGAGTGATGCATATTGCGAGATTGTAAGGCCGGGAGTTCTTTGCATGGGTGTTTTTCACGCAGCGACTGACACACACAAATCAATCATCCACCTTCGGTCCATGTAACATCCTGCACTCTCCTCTCCTCCTCCCCCCACTATACCCACCTGGACCATGCCCAACCCAGCCCGCCCTCCCTTACTTCAGTCAAGACGCACGTGGAAAATGTCCCAGTCGGGCTGCATGAACTCGCCCAGAAACAGGCCCACACAGAAAGTCAAACACTCTACAATCCAGCTACCATCCTGCACCCTCCCTCTCCCCTCCACCCCTCACAGCACGCACGTGGAACATGTCCCAGTCGGGCTGCATGAACTCGCCCAGGAACAGGCTGTTGTACGCCACCTGGTGGGCGGGGTGGGGTGGGCGGCGAGGGAGTAAGGGGTGGGTGAGTGGCGTGGGAATAAAGGGCTCTTGTAGGCCACCAGGAGGCCGGGGTGGGGACCAAGGAACAGAGGGGCGCGTGTCACCGCAAGCAGGGTAAATGACATGGGAAGAGGGATGGTGGGGGTATAGGAAAGAGGGGGGAGTGGAGGCATGGGAAGAGGAGTGGTTGGAACGGGACGTGGAGTGGTTGGAATGGGAAATTGCGTGGTTGATGAGGAGTTGAATGATAGGCGGCAGTGAGCTATAGGGAGAGGCCAATGAGGCGAGGCCAACAAGGCTCCTTTTGGATTTGGTGCAAAGAAACGACACATGTCTGACTAAGTGACAGGGAAGGATGACGGAATGAAGGGGAAAGGATGGACCCACAGAGACAGTGTGCACGGTGGATGGTGAGAAAGGGACGAGGAGCGGTGGGAATGGGTTGAATAGTGGTGGGAATGGGACGAAGAGCAATGGGATGGGAACGGGATGAGGAACGGTGGGAACTGGACGAGGAGAAGTGGGAAAGGGAGGAGCAGCGTTGGGAATGGGACGCACAGAGACGATGTGCACGGTGTGCGAGGCGGGGTCGGTGGGCCAGAAGTCATCGGACGCCCGCACCACTGCTGTCTGCTTCGCCCTGCTCAGGTGTTAAAAGGAAGGGGTGGCGGGGGATGAGGGAGGAAATTGGGAAGAAAGAAAGGGCAGGGGAGTGGGGAAGAGCGGGACGATGGCAGAGAGGCCGGCTGGGTGGGACAGAAGTCATCTGACGTTTGCAATCACCACTGCCTGCGTTGCTCTCTGTGCATTAGTTGGGGAGGAAGGAAAGGGAGGTGTGAACATGGGCATGGGCATCAGGGCATTTGGTGCAAAACGGACACTGCTGTTGGAAATTGCTGCGAGCGCGCGCAGAACACATGTATCGTCACTTTGCGATGAGGTGCAGACAATATGATCCGGGGCAGTGATGAGTGAAAGTCAGATCAGTAATATAGGCAGCGCAGTAAGAGAGGGAGACGCACAGAGAAGGGCTTGTGTGATTGGAGGAGAGAAAAGGGCGAGCGGGAACTCACGAGTAGAGCCCGTCGGTGTTGTGGCTCATGCACGCGATCACCCCATTCCCTTCAAAGTACTTCGCCACGCTACAAAGTTAACATCATGGGCATCATACAAATATTCTTGTGTAAGCTCATGCCCGTTGACATAAAAAGTTTCCTCGTGAAACCCCTCGCCAGCGCCACCCCCCCCTGTACCCCCCCTTTCCTACCCCGCCCCCCATCCCGCCCCCCAAGCGACTCCAGAATAAGAGAGGCAGCACTCACGAGTACAGCCCGTCGGTATTATGACTCATGCACGCGATCACCCCATTCTCCTCAAAGTTTTTCGCCACGCTCCTCTCCAGCGCCTCATGATACCCCCTCGCCAACGCCACCCGTCCCCCATACCCCGCGCCCAGCGTCTCTAGAATATTCTGCACGTCCACCTTCACCCCGTCCACCCCGCACGCGGCCAGATACCCGTGCAGTGCGTCGTAGAAATGGAACACCTTGGCGGGGCTGACCACGCCCAGCCCGTTGAGGGTGAGGGAGTCGTGGGCCATGTCGGGCTGGTTGAGCAGGATGGAGGGGGAAGGCACTGGGAAGACCAGGGCTGGGTCGAACTGCTGCATGGTGCTGGCGTGCGGGCGGACTCCTCCCCAGTAGCCCATCAGTGCGTGCCACACGTACACGTACCTGCAGGGGAGGAGGGGGGGTAATGGGGTTATGGGAAAAGACATCCCAGATTCTCATAAGCCAAAGAGACAAACTTAGAAACCCGCACGCGACCAGCATGCGACCAAGCATTGCTCATTTGAGATCAAAAGTCACTCACTTGAAACCAAGAGCCACTCATTGAAGATCAAGAGCAGGAGACTCACTTGAGGTCGTGAGCAGCCTTCACCTCACGCACCACCTGCCCCAGCCCATGCACCATGCCCGCTGCCTCACCCAACACTCTTGCCCCGTCCTCTCCCTCCCTTCCCCTCACCCCCCTGCCCCTCCTGCCGCCCCTCACCCCCCTTCCCCTCCCAAGCTCACAAGTAACTCACTTGAGGTCGTGAGCAGCCTTCACCTCGCGCACCACCTGCCCCAGCCCATGCACCATGCCCGCTGCCTCACCCAACACTCTTGCCCCGTCCTCTCCCTCCCTTCCCCTCACCCCCCTGCCCCTCCTGCCGCCCCTCACCCCCCTTCCCCTCCCAAGCTCACAAGTAACTCACTTGAGGTCGTGAGCAGCCTTCACCTCGCGCACCACCTGCCCCAGCCCATGCACCATGCCCGCTGCCTCACCCAACACTCTTGCCCCGTCCTCTCCCTCCCTTCCCCTCACCCCCCTGCCCCTCCTGCCGCCCCTCACCCCCCTTCCCCTCCCAAGCTCACAAGTAACTCACTTGAGGTCGTGAGCAGCCTTCACCTCGCGCACCACCTGCCCCAGCCCGTGCACCATGCCCGCTGCCTCGCCCAGCTCACTCGGCCCCTCATCTCCCTGCCCCTTCTCCACCCGCCCTTCACCCTCCTTTTCCTCCCCCTCCCCCTGCTGCTGCTGCTGCTGCTGCTGCTGCTGCTGCTGCTGCTGCTGCTGCTGCTTGAACTTGTAGTTGGCCTTGAGGTCTGTGAGGCGACTTGCATACCTGCAGAGTGAAAATGGGCAAGAATGACGTTTGACCTTCTGAGCTGCCTTAAACTGAGGGAAAAGATGAGCCGGCAGAGGGGTTACTGTGTCCCAACAGTGATGTTGGCGCTGGAACGATCAAGCGATTCAGCCGCCAGCCACTGTCTGCTGGCAGCCTATTCTGTGCTGCTGCACTGCTCTGTAAACTCTACTCCCCCGCACTGCTGCGCTCTTCTGAGCACTCACTGTGTGCCGACGGTGATGGTAGCACTACACTGGAGCCCTCATGCGAGTCAGCTGCCACTGATTGTTGAGAGTCGTGTGCTGCTGCACCGCAATGTACTGCAGTACACTACCACACTGCAGTGCACCGCACAGGACCGTACTGCACCACTGAGCACTCACTGTGTGCCGACAGTGATGGTGGCACTGGAGTCCTCATGTGAGTCAGCCGCCACTGATTGCCATCCGTCATCGATGATTAGGAACTTGGCCGGCGTGTTGCCTTCTGCCAGACTGCATGGGGGCAGGGAGGGGATGGGGGAATGGAAGAAGAGGAACGGAGGGAATGGAATAAGGGTGCCTCAAAGTGCCTCTGATTGTGCGATTCGAACTGCCATCCATCGTCAATATTGAGAAACTAGGCTGGCTTGCTGCCTGCTGCCAGACTGCATGGGAAAGGAGAGAAGGGGGGATTGGGGGGAGTTGGGATGGGGAGAGAAGGGGTGGGGAAATGGAATGGGAGTGCTTGAATGTGCCTCAGATCATGCAATTCAAATCAGACATCCATCATCGATAATGTGGCTGGCATGTTGCCTGCTGCGAGACTGCATGGTGAAGGGGATGGGAGATAGGTGGAGTGGGAGAGAGGGGATGGGTGGAGTGGGAGAGGCAGGAGGGGTGGGGTGAGGGGGGGGAGATGGGTGGAGTGGGAGAGGGGGGGTGGGTGGAGTGGGAGAGGGGGGATGGGTGGAGGAGTGGGAACGGGGGGAAGATTGGAGTAGGAGAGGGGGGATGGGTGGAGGAGTGGGAACGGGGGGAAGGTTGGACCGTTGGAGTGGGAGAGGGGGGAAGGTTGGAGTGGGAGAGGGGGGACGGGTGGAGCAGAAATTCGTTGCCTGCGGCCCCTGCTTGCCTGCACGCACCTTGCGAGCCTCCCCTGCCTCACCAACTGACTTTCCTGCCAGCCCCTCTTTCACGCCCTGTGTGTCCTGTCCAGTCCACCTTGGTATACAAGGCGTCCCACGTGCACCACCCGAAGCAATCCAGCAACTTCTTGAGACATCTTAACGCTTGCCTGCACGTATCTGCCAGCCCCTGCCTGGCTTGACTTTCCTGCCAGCCCCTGTTTCACGGTCTGTGTGTCCAGTCCACCTTGGTATACAAGGTGTCCCACGTGCACCACCCGAAACAATCCACCAACTTCTTGAGACGTCTCACAAAGACGCATCAGCAGTTTTTTTTATACGTCGCACTCTCTCTTGGCGTCTCTCACGAACTGACGCACCTCCCAGCCCCTGCTTGCCTTGCATGCACTCACCTAGCAAGCCCCTGCTTGACGCCGTGAGCGTCCACCTTGGTGTAGAAGGCGTCCCACGTGCACCACCCGAAGCAGTCCAGCAGCCCTGGCAGCTGCTTCTCCTCCCGCCTCAGGAACGACCCCGTGTGCTGCTCCACCGCCCTGCCAGCATAGGTGGGAGGGGGGGGGGGGAGGGGGGAAGCAGAGGGAAGTTTCTGAGGCGCCTAAAAAATGGTCAAGAACGAGTAAAAGGGCGAATGAACATCAGAAGAGTAAACAGAGAGTGGAAGAATCAACGGAAGGAGAGAGGTTGAGGGGCGTGAAGGGAGAGGGGGAGGAGGGGGGTGGGGGGGGGAGTGGCAGGAATGCACTTGACAGCATCGGCAATAATGGAGTAGGGGTTGGTGCCGCTGTGCATGTGCGGGGAGTGGAGAGCGGTTGAGAGGCGTAGAGTGAGAAGTGAGAGAGCGAGAGAGTGAGAGAAGGGTGGGCAGGGTGGCAGGCAGGGACGCACTTGACAGCATCGGCGATAATGGAGTAGGGGTTGGTGCCGCTGTGCATGTACACAGCGTGCAGTGACTCATCCGTGCACACCTGGGGGTCGCCTGGTGACAGCGGGTGGAAGGGTGGAAGGTGGGGAGAGCAAAGGAAAGGAGACAAATAAGCATGGGAATCTTCCGATAGTGCATGTGCACTGTGTGCAGAGACTCATACGTGCACACCTGGGGGGCACCTGATGGCGGGGTTTGTAAGGGGTGGAAAGGGGTGGAAAGGGGAGAGATGAAAGAATACACACAACATGCAGTGACTCCCCTGTGCACACCTTGGGGCCGCTTGGTGACGGGGTAGAGGGAAGGAATGAAAGAAATGAGAGGGGGGGTAATGAGTGGGTTTTTCATGGTAGTTCATGTACACTGCGTGCAGTGACTCCCCCGTGCACACCTTGGGGTCGCCTGTGATGGCATGGCGTTTCACATGGGTTGTTAGAACGGGGATGGTGGGTGGTGGAAGGGGGTGGTGGGTGGTGGAAGGGGGTGGTGGGTGGTGGAAGGGGATGGTGAGTGGTGAAAGGGGATGGTGAGAGGTGGAAGGAGGAGAGAGCAAAGGATATACTCATAGGCTGTCTGAGATCGTGCATGGACAGGGCGTGCATGACGTCAGCATGGAGGGCCATTTACGGTTGGCAGGGGTGGAGCATGGTGGGGGGATGAAAGAGAGTTTAGACAGCTCACGAACGAGGAAGTCGCATGCTTCTTTCATATGTGTGCGGAGCAGAGGGTTCTGGAGTAGAATTGTTAGCCCGTTACACATGACACATGGTACAGAGCACAGGGCATAGGGCACGGGGCACATGGCACAGAGTCACTCATCGTGGACCTCTTTTTCACCATTCTTCCTACTTGTACACCCCCCCTCCCCCCCTCCCCCCCTCCCCCCTCCCTTCCCCCCCACCCGGCCCCCCCTTTTAATGTAGTTCTCAGCTGATATTTGCTGCGGTTTGGAAGCACCAAAATGCCATGCTGCTCACCGCTCTCGAGGCACACTTCAAGATGGTCGGAGGGCGAGCCTTGCAGCGCCGCACGGAAGGACCCGTCCAGCAGCGGCAGCACCACCACGTACACCCTCGCGCTCGCGCTGCCGCCCGCCTCCTCCCCCACAACCCTCCCCTCACCCCCACTGTCCTGCTGCTGCTGCTGCTGCTGCTGCTGCTGCTGCTGCGGGGGGAGCTCGAGCAGCAGGAACTGCGTTTCCACGGGGACCTCGCGCCCGCTGCTGCCCACGCGCTGCGTCATCCACCAGAGCTTGAAGCGGAAGCAGCACAGGAACCGCGCGCCCCTGGGGGAGTGAGAGGGAAGGGGAGGGAGTGGGGGGAAGAGTGGGGGGAAGAGTGGGGAGGGGTTTGTTTGAGCCGACTCAAACGTCCACTGCGTCATCCACCAGAGCTTGAAGCGGAAGCAGCACAGGAAGCGCGCCCCTTGGGGGAGTGGTGGGTAGGTTGCCGGAGTGGAGGGGAAGGAGGGGAAAGCGGAGCACGAGTGAACGACGCAGGGCGACATGGGGGTCATATGGGAGTTCAATTGGGGTAGAGCCGCATGGTGCGCACGCTCGTTAGCGATCTAGTACAATTTCGAGACAAGATACGGGTGAGAAAGTGTTTTCACACGACTGCGACAGCTTTCCTGGGCACTCACCCCCGTTTCGCCGTGCTACCCTCGCTCCCTGCGCCACCCCTCTCTCTCAGCGCTTCTTAAATGTTACAGGATCTGTTTATACCGCGCCTCTATAAACAAGCCAGGAAACGGCGCTCGACAGCATGCGATCACACCACATTGCGCTTCACCTTCAGCGTGGGCTCACCATCGTGCGCTAACACTGCATTGCGCCTCACCGGAGCACGCCCAGGCGGAACACGTGCCAGCTGTGCGCCTCGCGGAACCGACTCCCCAGAAACACGCCCTGTGCCTCCGCCTCCCCCGCCCCTTTGCCCGAATCTCCCAATCCCCCCGCGTGCGGCGTGAGCACGAGCGACGGCGGCACGTCGCTCAGCACCACGCGATCGTGGGCGAGCAGCTGTCGCTCGTCGCTGATGCGAATGCTGGAGTGGACGGGTACATCTGGTGGCGGGTTTGATGCCGTTGAGGGCGCGACTGGTTCGGCTGGTAGAGGTTGGTGAGAGGAAGAGACGGCAGCACCGACGGGAGGAAGAGAGAGCGTGTCGATGGCTGGTTGCACGGCTACCGCCATGTCTTCCTGCTGATCTGGAAATTGTTGCTGTTGTTGTTTTGATTGCTGCTGCCGGTTTTGTCGCACGGACGAATGCACGCGGAACGGCGGACGGGGCGCAGCGGATGCACGCGGTGACGGACGAGCGGCGGAGGAGGCGACACCAGTGGTGGAAAGATCTCTGGAAACGCGAACCTCGGTGACACCGAGATTGCCGAAGTCAGTTATTCTGACAGCGGCGGTGGCGGTAGAAAGGCCTCTCGATTGGAAGCTACTCGATAGATATCGCGTCTGCGGAGATCCGATGCGAGGAGAATGCAGGATACGCAATTGCGATGTGAGCGACGCGATCGGGCTGCGAGGAGCAGCGAGGGTTGAAGGGGAATAAGTTATAGTGAGAGGCGACGGCGCATTTGGTGTGCGAGCGGACGACGCGGTGGGTGTCAGAAGAGGAGACGCTTTCACAAGCTTATTAGCGGCGGGGCGCGGCAAGGAACGCACCATTTTTCCTTGAGAGCCACCATCTCACCTGTTGCAGAGACTAGAAAAGGAGATGCGAAGAGGTATCAGTGGCTGCTGATGGTATCATTGTGCACGTTTAGCTGCGGCCAATCCATTTCGTATCGTGATGTGTCTGCTGACGGCTTTACACGAGAGCCACGCTAGTAAGGTGGAAGAATCAAAAGGAAGTAATGCTGGCGGAAGGGCTACCCCACGATCTAATCTGGGTGGTGCTTATGTGTGCAACACAAACTCGTTGGCTAAGGCTTTCGGTAATGGTGGTGGTGAATGGCGGTGGTTGATAAAACACAGTTTTCTTCTGACGGATTGGCAGAAGGATGGTAATGCCGAGGTGTCAATACCCTGCGAAAAGAACTGCGGAAGGGTTCAGAACTGTATCCGAATAGGCCTTTGTACCCACGGTTTGTGTGTTCAAGACGCTAGCGTTTGTGCTATGGCGAGGGTCGAGTAGATAGAACCGAGTGTTTGGAGTTGGAGACTAGATCGTCGGAGGGGACTTGCTGGTAAGTGTGGATGTAGATTGTACAAACCTCCCCTCCCCCACCAGCTTGCTGTGACGGGTGTGTCAGCCAGGGATGACCTCGAGAGGGCATCGGTTTGGATCTGGCGCCGCGCCGTGCGTTGGGGTCTGATTTCAGGCTCACAAAATCACCTTACTGCCAATCAAGCTGAACCACATGTAACACAACCACAGCAGTAGCGGTGAAACCTCTATAGTGAGCTGTCCTCGTTCAGACCACAAGCGCGCCAGTGGCGCCTTGTAACCACCAAGGTCTCCAGCTCACCTACCCATTACACCAAGGTCCAGACGAATGGGATCTAGCCACTGAAACGTAAGTGAGGAAAGGTTTCGTCAAAAGTTTGAAAAACTACGTCATATCCACGTCGTTGGACCCCCACAAAATGAACGTGGCGTAACCCGGATATTTTTTTTCTCGCGATGCAATATTTTGAAACACTGCGTACACCACACGAGCTCATTAGCGGATTCCACGTCATATCGGAAATTAATCAGACCACATTATGGATATTTTCACGTAACGTGAAAGGCATCAAGTACACCAGAACAGTCTAGCATTTCCAGGATAGAGAAAACTCCATTAATCACCAATTAGGTTTCCTAATTTCTCAATCAGACACTATGTTTTCACATACCAGTAAGCTTCCCCATTATGTGGTCATGTCACCTGTCGATGTCACCGAACTTCCACTCCTAACCCATGAAGATTTTTGTTGTGATTCTATTTGACTTTTGCATATATCCCTCCCCTCACCCACCTCAACCACCCTCTGCCCTTCACCCACCCTCTGCCCCTCGCCCGCCCTCTGCCCCTCGTTCGCCTTCTGCCCCTCGCCCGCCCTCTGCCCCTCGTTCGCCTTCTGCCCCTCGCCCGCCCTCTGCCCCTCGCCCGCCTCTGCAGCATCAAGTCGCCGGGCCTTGCAAGCGCAGTACTTGAGTGCGCAGCGAGACGCGTACGTCAGCGGGCGAGAGGGGGGGCATGGAGCCCCACAAGCCCATCGCAAAACTAAGCAGTGCCCCCGACCCATCTCTTGATCCACCTCCCTCCCCTCACCCACCCCCAGCCCCGCACCCGCCTCTGCAGCAGCAAGGCGTCGAGCTTTGCGTCGAGCTTTGCGAGCTCTCCTCGAGAGTGAACCACGGGACACGTAGGACATGGAGCCCTGTAAGCCCGCAGGGGAATTAAGCAGCTACCTCCACCTCCTGGCCCCGACCCATCTCTTGACCCTCCTCCCTTCCCTCTCCTGCCCCCTGCCCCTCACCCCCCTCCGCTGCTGCAAGGCGTCTGGCCTTACGCGCTCTCCGCTTGAGGGCGCGGCGGGACACGTACCCCGGGGGGCGAGGAGGGGGGGCGGTGGGCAGGTAGGTGTGCAGTCGCTGGTAGGGCTCGGGGCGGGCGAGGAAGGGGCGCAGGCGAGGAGCAGCAGCACACTCTGTGCAGCAGGCGCCATTCATAGCTTGGGCACACGTGGAGCAGAACCTGATGGGGGGGAGAGGATAGGAGGAGGGCAGGGGAGGGCAAGGGGAGGGTGAGAGGAGGGCGAGGAGAGGGATGCGGGCAGAGGGCAGGTAGGTGTGCAGACGCTGGTAGGGCTCGGGGCGGGCGAGGAAGGGGCGTAGGCGAGGGGCAGCGGCGCACTCGGTGCTGCAGGCGCCATTCATGGCTTGAGCACATGCGGAGCAGACTCCGTGGGGGAAATAGGGGCATGGGGAGAGCAGGGGGGTTGGCAATGGGGGGCGAAGAGGGCAGGGCAGGGTGCAACCGCTGGGGCAGGCGAGGAAGGGGAGCAGGCAGGGGGCAGCAGCGCCGTTGGTGCTGCAGGCACTCTTAAAGGCTTGGAAACATGCGAAGTAGACTCTGAGGGATAGAGTGGGGGGGGAAAGGGAGGGTGGGGAGAGACAAGGAGAAGTGAGGTGAGATAATGAGCAGTAGAGCACTCGGTGCCCCCAGACTCTGGGGGCTTGAGCGCACCCCTCGTGGCTTGAGCGCGCAGCAGACTCTGGGGGTGGAGGGGGAGCAAAGGGGCCAGGGCGATTAAATGTGAAGCATAAGGGCAGTCAGGTTTTGACTCAGCCTCACACCATTCCCCTCACACTATCCCCCTCACACCAAGCCCCTCACACCAATCCTCCTCAGGCCATCCCCCTCACATCATCTTTCCAAATGAGATTTGATCGAAACTTACAGAATGAGGGCGTTGCAGTCCGAGTTGGCGCAGTTGCGATGCTTCACCTCCTCCAACCGCCCTCCACACCTCTGACACCCCACACTCTCCTCCTCCTCCCCTTCCACCGCCCCCATCATCCCCCCCAACATCTCACCCAGCACCTCCCCAACCCTCTCCACCCCCTCCTCCTCCGCAGCCCGCAACACCTTCCCCCCGACCTGATAATCCCTGGGCGGCACAGCCAGCCGTGAGTCAAACACGAAAAGCCGCCCGTTCCAGTGCTCGCCGCCCTGCTCGCGCATGTACCGGGCGACGCCGCCCTCAAGGGTGTAGAGGCGTTTAAAGCCCTGCTGTCGGAGCAGTGCGGAGTACACATCACAGCGAATGCCCCCTGTGCAATACATGAGGACTTCTGTCTCCTCCTTGTCTGCTTCTGATAGCGGGTCATATGCCTCCTGCCCCTCTGCCTCCTCTTCCTCCTGCTGCTGCTCTTCTGTGGTGGCTGCAGTGTGTTCCTGTGGATAAGTGGGGGTTGGCAGGCAGGAAAGGGTTGTTTTGAGTCGGGCGAACACACACAGTGCAGCAAAGACCCCCAACCTCACAGGCAACAGCCCACGTTCATCCTACCTCTACGCTTGTATCCCTGACCTCCTCGTCTAACACACCCCCTCATCATCAAAACACACCTCCCCGAGCTCTTGCCGCCCAGCCCTCACCTCTTGCCGCCCAGCCCTCACCTCTTGCCGCCCAGCCCTCACCTCTTGCCGCCCAGCCCTCACCTCTTGCCGCCCAGCCCTCACCTCTTGCCGCCCAGCCCTCACCTCCTGCAGGCCGAACTCGGTGGATCGGAAGTTGTCAACCGGAGGGCGCACAGCCCCGGCAAAATGGCCCACGTCCCACTCGTAGCCTGGTGGGAGAAGCGGGGGAGAGGGGGAGAGGGATGGGGAGAGCGAGCGAGAGAAGGAGAGATGAGGAAGGTCTGCAGTGTGTGAAGTTGTCAACTGGAGGGCGCACAGCCCCGGCAAAATGGTCCATGTCCCACTCGTAGCCTAGAGAGGGGGTTTGGCGTAAGAGGGGGAGAGAGAGTAAGGGGAAGGACGGTGTGTTTCTGAAGGTGTCTCATGCCATGCCATCGACACAGAGGCCCTCCCCACGTTGTCAACCCCGAGGGTACACAGCCCGCGCAAAATGGCCCACGTCGCAATCGTAGCCTGGTAGGGGGAAGGGAGGAGGGGAGGGGGAGAGGGGGAGGGGGAGATGGGAAAAGTCTGCAATGTGTGTGAGGACAGCACCGCTTGCCGCACACAGACAGCAACCACTGTTGCACACATCGTTGGGCAAACTCACCACTTCAAACAGACAGCAGCGTGCCTACCAGCAAGCACCCACCATTGCGCACGGCACATCCAGCATGCCTGAACACAAAGCACCCACCATTGCGCACGTCCAGCAGCATTATCTTCTTGGTGCGCGCAACTGCCTCCTCCCCACGCCCCTTATTGTCCTCCCCTTGCCGCCTTTCCCCGTCCGCCTCCCCACCCCCCTCACCCTCCCCCCGCTGCATCTGGTCGATCTTGCTGCGCCATTCAGCGGGCGACAGGGGCGTGGCGGCACACAGGTCTGCAGACAGCTGCTCCATGCCTCTTGCCACCTGATGGGGGAAAGTCATGGGGGGAAGGGGGGAAGCACGGGGGGGGGGGGGGGAGAGTGTGTGGGCGAGCGGGCAACAGGGGCGTGGCGGCACAGAGGTCCGCCGAGAGCTGCTCCATGCCGCCTGCCACCTGACGGAGGGGACGCATAGAGAGGTGGGGGGCCGGAAGCACGGGAGGGTGGGATGCGTGGCGATCCTGGGACAGAGGCGTGGCGGCACACAGGTCCGCTGAGAGCTGATGGTGGGGCACGGGGGAGGGTGCAGAAGCACGGGGGGGGGGAGGATGATGTGCGGCGAGCGTGAGACACGGGCCTCGCGGCACACAGGTCGCCCGACAGTTGCTCCATACCTCTGTGAGGGAGCCCGAGGAGTTGCTCCATACCTCCCGTGACTTGATGGTGGGGGAGGAGAGCGAGGCGCGTGGGGATGGAGGCCAGGGGGAGTGGAGAGGCCACAGTTGCATGGAGGAGGAGGCGTGGCATGAGGGCGTGGCGAAGCAAGCTACCTCACGTGCACAGCACAAGGTACAGTCACCTGCACAAGGGCGGGCTTGCAGGCGTCTCACCTGCACAACGGAAGGTACAGTGTGGTGCAGCCACGACCACTCACCTGCACAACGGAAGGTACAGTGTGGTGCAGCCACGACCACTCACCTGCACAACGGAAGGTACAGTGTGGTGCAGCCACGACCACTCACCTGCACAACGGAAGGTACAGTGTGGTGCAGCCACGACCACTCACCTGCACAACGGAAGGTACAGTGTGGTGCAGCCACGACCACTCACCTGCACAACGGAAGGTACAGTGTGGTGCAGCCACGACCACTCACCTGCACAACGGAAGGTACAGTGTGGTGCAGCCACGACCACTCACCTGCACAACGGAAGGTACAGTGTGGTGCAGCCACGACCACTCACCTGCACAACGGAAGGTACAGTGTGGTGCAGCCACGACCACTCACCTGCACAACGGAAGGTACAGTGTGGTGCAGCCACGACCACTCACCTGCACAACGGAAGGTACAGTGTGGTGCAGCCACGACCACTCACCTGCACAACGGAAGGTACAGTGTGGTGCAGCCACGACCACTCACCTGCACAACGGAAGGTACAGTGTGGTGCAGCCACGACCACTCACCTGCACAACGGAAGGTACAGTGTGGTGCAGCCACGACCACTCACCTGCACAACGGAAGGTACAGTGTGGTGCAGCCACGACCACTCACCTGCACAACGGAAGGTACAGTGTGGTGCAGCCACGACCACTCACCTGCACAACGGAAGGTACAGTGTGGTGCAGCCACGACCACTCACCTGCACAACGGAAGGTACAGTGTGGTGCAGCCACGACCACTCACCTGCACAACGGAAGGTACAGTGTGGTGCAGCCACGACCACTCACCTGCACAACGGAAGGTACAGTGTGGTGCAGCCACGACCACTCACCTGCACAACGGAAGGTACAGTGTGGTGCAGCCACGACCACTCACCTGCACAACGGAAGGTACAGTGTGGTGCAGCCACGACCACTCACCTGCACAACGGAAGGTACAGTGTGGTGCAGCCACGACCACTCACCTGCACAACGGAAGGTACAGTGTGGTGCAGCCACGACCACTCACCTGCACAACGGAAGGTACAGTGTGGTGCAGCCACGACCACTCACCTGCACAACGGAAGGTACAGTGTGGTGCAGCCACGACCACTCACCTGCACAACGGAAGGTACAGTGTGGTGCAGCCACGACCACTCACCTGCACAACGGAAGGTACAGTGTGGTGCAGCCACGACCACTCACCTGCACAACGGAAGGTACAGTGTGGTGCAGCCACGACCACTCACCTGCACAACGGAAGGTACAGTGTGGTGCAGCCACGACCACTCACCTGCACAACGGAAGGTACAGTGTGGTGCAGCCACGACCACTCACCTGCACAACGGAAGGTACAGTGTGGTGCAGCCACGACCACTCACCTGCACAACGGAAGGTACAGTGTGGTGCAGCCACGACCACTCACCTGCACAACGGAAGGTACAGTGTGGTGCAGCCACGACCACTCACCTGCACAACGGAAGGTACAGTGTGGTGCAGCCACGACCACTCACCTGCACAACGGAAGCTACAGTGTGGTGCAGCCACGACCACTCACCTGCACAACGGAAGGTACAGTGTGGTGCAGCCACGACCACTCACCTGCACAACGGAAGGTACAGTGTGGTGCAGCCACGACCACTCACCTGCACAACGGAAGGTACAGTGTGGTGCAGCCACGACCACTCACCTGCACAACGGAAGGTACAGTGTGGTGCAGCCACGACCACTCACCTGCACAACGGAAGGTACAGTGTGGTGCAGCCACGACCACTCACCTGCACAACGGAAGGTACAGTGTGGTGCAGCCACGACCACTCACCTGCACAACGGAAGCTACAGTGTGGTGCAGCCACGACCACTCACCTGCACAACGGAAGGTACAGTGTGGTGCAGCCACGACCACTCACCTGCACAACGGAAGGTACAGTGTGGTGCAGCCACGACCACTCACCTGCACAACGGAAGGTACAGTGTGGTGCAGCCACGACCACTCACCTGCACAACGGAAGGTACAGTGTGGTGCAGCCACGACCACTCACCTGCACAACGGAAGGTACAGTGTGGTGCAGCCACGACCACTCACCTGCACAACGGAAGGTACAGTGTGGTGCAGCCACGACCACTCACCTGCACAACGGAAGGTACAGTGTGGTGCAGCCACGACCACTCACCTGCACAACGGAAGGTACAGTGTGGTGCAGCCACGACCACTCACCTGCACAACGGAAGGTACAGTGTGGTGCAGCCACGACCACTCACCTGCACAACGGAAGGTACAGTGTGGTGCAGCCACGACCACTCACCTGCACAACGGAAGGTACAGTGTGGTGCAGCCACGACCACTCACCTGCACAACGGAAGGTACAGTGTGGTGCAGCCACGACCACTCACCTGCACAACGGAAGGTACAGTGTGGTGCAGCCACGACCACTCACCTGCACAACGGAAGGTACAGTGTGGTGCAGCCACGACCACTCACCTGCACAACGGAAGCTACAGTGTGGTGCAGCCACGACCACTCACCTGCACAACGGAAGGTACAGTGTGGTGCAGCCACGACCACTCACCTGCACAACGGAAGGTACAGTGTGGTGCAGCCACGACCACTCACCTGCACGAGCGCCGGCTTGTAGCGCAGGCGGAGGCGCGGGAAGGCGTGGCCCACAGGAGAGGTCGACAGCTGTCCCTGTGCTCAGGAAAAGGTACAGTGTAGTGCTGGCAGGACAGCCCACCTGCACGAGGGCGGGCTTGTAGCGCAGGCGGAGGCGCGGGAAGGCGTGGCCGATGGGGGAGGGCGACAGCTGCAGCGGCACCCTGGCGAAGCGCTGGTCGCTGCGCACCCACTCGGCATACTCCATCACGTGTGAGGCTGGGCCGCTGAGCTGATGTGATGAGTGGGGGGGGATGGGATGGGGGAAGGAAGAAAGTGCAGGGGGATGTGTGTGTGGGCGTGGGAGGAGCACATGAGGGCAAGTCAACGCGCTCGTCACCGCGCACCCACTCGGCGCACTGCATTCACGTGTGAGGCTGGGCCGCTGAGCTGCGAGGGAGGACGAGATGATGTGATGGGGAGAGGAAGGGAGGATTGGAAAGAGGGATGGGGGAGTGAGGGGTCGATGCACAACCAGTCTGCATACTCCAACACGTGTGAGGCCGGCCCGCTGAGCTGCGCGGAAGGAGAGGTGTGTGAGGAGGGAATGCGGAGAGTAACAGGAGGGTGTGGGCGCAGATAGGGGCAAAGCGCTCGTCACCGCACACCCACTCGGCGCACTCCATCCATCACGTGTGAGGCTGGCACGCTGAGCTGCGAGAGATGACAGAGAGGGGAACGGGAGACTGACAAGCGCGCGAGGCCGGACTGCTGAGATGAGATGATGCGATGCAGTGAGTTGGAACATGGATGGCACAGGCTCGTGTAGAGTGCAATGACAGGCAAGAACTCTCCCTCTCGCTCTCCCTCTCGCTCTCCCCCTCGCTCTCCCTCTCTCTCCCACTAGTTCTCGCTCTTGCCCTCGCCCACATCCTCTTGCCTTTCCCCTTCTCAAAGGCTACATTCTCGCGAGTTGAAAAGCTGAACGGTACAGTGCGGTGCTGGAGAAGAACGATGCGAACACACGAGACTTCACTCTTTGATGAAAATTGTGTAGAGCCGTATTGATCTTTCCCTGCGCCCCGAATCTTAAACCCTGAACCTTGAATCTTAAACCCTGAAGCTTGAAGCTTGAACCATGAGCCATGAATCTTGTATCCTGAGCTCCGAGTCTTCTTGACCCATGCATGCTGCACCGCACCGTTGGGCCATGCCACGTCACTCCCACATCTGCACCACCAACACCCATGCTCCTGTCCCCTGCACCACCACCTCCCATGTCCCATGCCTCACCCGCTCCTGCCTGCCTCACCCGCTCCTGCCTGCCTGCCCCGAGTGACTCACCTGAGCGTTGATGCCCTGGTGGCTGATGTATATCCGGCCTCGGATGTCCCGCTCCTGAGACACACACACATGGAGGCACACGGGCGGGAATGCAAGAGGAGAGATCGGTAGGCAGGCAGGAAGGGAAGGGACAGAGTGAAGGGAGGGAGGGGAGAGAGTGCAAGGACCAGCGCTAACGCAGTGTGACTAGCGAGGCGCTGAGGTGGGCACACCACATTGGCCACTGCAGTGCTACAACTTGACATTGACGTTAACGTTACCGTTGACGTGGACGAGGACGTCAACCAGCTCATTGCCTTCCCCACTACACCGCATTCTCAATCCGCACCTGTAGGAACGCACGGTGCCGCTCCACGTCACCATGGGCATCCTCCACGTCAGCAAAGTGGTAAAAGTTGAGCACCAAAAACGGCTCCCCTTGCGCGCTCCCCGCGCCGTCCGTCGCTTCCGCCGCTCCGCCATCCCTGCGCTCCGCGGAGCCTTCCCCCGCGGGAGCTGCCGCGGAACTCTCTGGAGTCGGCACAGAAGCCGCGCTATCGTGCGCCTGCGCGCGGCATGCTCCGCGCGGGCGGAACGCGGAGAGCAAAGCACGTGTGCGCCGCCTGGAGCACTCCGCGGGAAACGAAGGGTCGCGGATAAAGCCTGTGCGCGCGTGAGGGGCGGATCGGCAGCGGGGAAAGCAGCCGGCGGGGGTGATGGCGGCGGGGGCAGCAGCAAAGGAGAGTCGCGACGCTAACGGGAGAGCGGCTCGAGCAAGAAGAGGCAAGGCGAGGCCAGTGGGAAATGGCAGCGACTGAGCGGTCCGCGTAGGGGCGGCCGATGGAGCCGCGCGTGCCGGCGCGAGTGCCGCTGCTTGCTGCTGCGCGCCGAGCGGTCTGCTGAGCCTCCTTATGACGTCAGCCATGGTGGGGACTCGAATGCGGAAGATCGGTAGGCTGGAAAGCGCGACTCGAAGGCGCATAGACCTCCGGGTCGCGTGAGTTGGACACGGCAGCAGTCGTTGCGATGCGAGCAGCAATAGCAGCAGAATGGGGGAAGCGTTGAATGAGGGAGGGTGTGAGATGAGAATAGCGTGTATGAGAATCGGAGAGAGACGGGGTGATGTGGGAAAAGAATGATATTGATCACGTTTCTCGCGAAGATGGTGATATCGCGTACAAAAGATTACCAGAGGTCCAGCGCAGAAAGGTTCAGGGCACGTCATGCCACGTGTTACACGAAAAGTGGATGGAAAATATCGCGAGGGCACATGGGAACCTGTTACAAAGCAAACATGTACAAGGCCAGGTGTAAGGATTTACAAATCCTTTCTGAGGCACTCATTAGCGAGGCCATCCCGAGGGTCACGTGACGAACCTGTTGGGCCTGTTTCGTCGCGCCGAACCACCCCCGGGTTGCCTCTGCACCAATCGCGACATCACCGAACCATCCTCGCCTGACCTCCCCGCCTAGCTAGCACTCCCCCTATTTAGTCTCGACACTTTCCTTGTATCGTCATTCTGTAATCAATCATTATCGATATTCGTTATTCTGCGCACTCTGCAAGTTCATTCATCACAACACCAGGTTATAAAGCTAACATAACAGAACAAACAAATTTGTATGCACCAACATATTCACCAAGTTCGCTATACAATTCTCCTTCATGGTCAGAAGCACAACTAGCACTATAGCGTCACACACTCATTTCCCACAGCAGCAAGTTGTGCTTCTGACCAATCAGCAAGGCCACATCCGCCAGTCCGAATTAGCCAAGGTCGAATGCCGGTATCTACGCCTTCACTTCTGAGACGAGCACCACGTATAAATGAAGGGGAGTTGTTGTGTCGACTCTGTGCTCCATGCTCAGCAGCAGGAATAACATGGCATGGCATGGAGCAAGACAGCAAGGATGCATGCACCCCGTCATGACTTGGTCTTCTTGGATATGCTGCTCTGCTCTGCTCTGCTTGCTCAAGCCACCACTCCTTGCCTGCTGCAGTAAACAACCGGCCTTGAATCACGATGGGGAGAGGAGTGAATGGAGGGGGAGGGAGAGCGGGGCGGGAGGGGCGGGGGCACGGCGGCAGGCAATGGCGGTACTGAAGTGCAGCAGGAGGGAGCGGGCGAGGGCGGGGGAGGGCAGGGGGGAGGGGGAGTTAAGAGGGGGGAGGGGGAGGTGGAGGAAGGGGAGAGGCGAGATGAGATGCGCCATGGCTTGCACTGTCAGCGTTGGGGTCATCTCGCCGCTGTAGATGCTGCTGCTGTTCGTGGTACTGTTTGGCTTGCTGTTGTTGTGGTTGATGAGAGTTGGTGATTGGATGGGAGAGAGGGGGGGGCGAGGGCGGTCGGGGGGAGGGCAGAAAGGTGGTCTGTACTGTGCAGGCTCGGGTGGCGCCGGTGGTGGTGGCACAGCAGCAGCAATAGCCGCAGCGGCGGCAGGAGGAGTGGTGATAAGAAGAGGAGGAAGAGGAAGAGGAGCGGCAGGAGAGGCAGCAGGACTGGTGATCAGGGCATGGCCTGTAGCGCATGGGGCAGGCAGCAGGGGAGCAGTGGGCGAGCGGGGCGCACAGTGCCCCAGATGCTGTGTGGGTGGTGGTGGCGTGTGCAAGGATACGCATGGGGGAGGCAGTGTGGAAGTGGGAGAGGAGAGGGAGGAGGGGGAGGAGCACGGAGAGGAGGACGGGGAGGATGGTGGTGATGCACTGGGAGGATGCGAGAGAGTGAGAGGGAGAGGGGTAGCGAGGGCAGGTGAGGGAGTGTGAGGGGGGGAGAAAGTGAGAGGGGGCGGGGAGGTGTTGGTGAGGGCAGGCGAGGGGAGGGAGGATGAGGGAGAGTGTGGCGGCAGGGACGACAGCCAGTCACTGTCGCTGTGGCCGCCGCTGCTCGTCATGTCCATGCTGCTGGTAGTGGTGGTGGTGGTGCTGGTGCTGGTAGCAGTGCTGGTGCTGGTAGCAGTGCTGGTGCTGGTGCTGCTGCTGGTGGTGGTGGTGGTGGCGGTGCAGTTGTTTGGCTGGCTGGGTTGCATGGGAAGGGGGGCGGCTCCAACATGCCCTTTCACTCCCATCGCTGCCCCTCCTCGTCCGCTCTCCTCCCCAACCCCAACCACCGCCTCACTCACAGTTGTGCCCGAATCGCCACACAGTGTATGAGCAGCAAGCGGGGCACGAGCGACCAGAGCACCCTCAGGCTCAGAATCACACACAGTGAACTCGTCCAGTGGCAGCTGCTCGCATGCCAGCAACCAATCAACCTGCCACTCCTGCTCCCCTCCCTGCTGCTCCCCCTCCGCCTGCTCCTCCACCACCTGCTCCTCTTTCGCCTGCTCCCCCTCCGCCTGCTCCCCTTCCCCCTGCTCCCCCTCCGCATGCTCCCCTTCCGTCTGCTCCCCCTCTGCCTGCTCTTCCCCCGCCTGCTCTTCCTCCACCTGTTCCCCCTCCGCCTGCTCCTCTGCCACCTGCTGCCTAATCTGTTGCTCGTATGCCAGTAGCGTTTCCAACTCATCCCCCCACACCTCCTGCTCCTGCTGTTGCAGCTTCCCCTGTTGTTCCTCCACCATCTCCTCTACCGATTCCCCCTCCACCTCCTCTCTCTGCTCCTCCTCACCACCACTACCCGCACTGTCGCCCGTCGCAGTGCCCATTAAAGCATCAGCAGCAGTGAGGCCCACTCCCTCCTCCGCCAGCGAGCCAGGGGCAGCGAGAGCAGCGAAGGGCTCAGCAGTGGTACCACGTGGCAGCGAGTCACTGGAGGAGGGGGCCACGTGTGTGTGGGCGGAGGAGAGGAGAGGGCGGAGGGGTGCCGTGCTGTCAGCGTCAGGCAGCGAGTCCTTGGAGGAGAGGGCCGCGCAGGCGTGGATGAGAGACTCCGCGATGGCGGGAGGCAGGGGCACCTGCGGACAGTATGGGGGGAGACGGCGGGGGAATAGGGGGAGGCGTGATGAGTGTGTGTGTGCAGGGGGAACATGGTCAGGGAGAGGGAAAGGAGGGACAGAGAGACAAAGCGGGAACAGTTTTGAGTCGATTCAAAACTCTGACTCAGGGTGACTTTTCTCTCCTCGCCTCACCTTCAACCACTCGCCCCCTCGCCACCTCTACTCGCCTCGTCTTTCTCCCCTCTCCTGCCTCGCCGCGCCTCACCTCTCGCTGGTCGTCAGGGAAGTTCAAGATCGCGCCGTCGCCTCGCAGCAGTCGCACGGCGACGTCGTACACTCGCGCCGCCTGCTCCGCGCTGCTGTGCGACCCCAGCCAGATGCGCAAACCCCGCCGCGGCTCGCGGATCTCCGACACCCACCGCCCCCACCGCCGCTGCCGCACTCCGCGGTACTGCCGCTCCGCGCCAAGCGGATCGGCGCTCGCGGAAGGGGATTCCGCGGAGGGGACCGCGCTAGAGCGAGGCGCGCCGGAGGAAGGCTGCACGCAGCGCCGCTTGCGACTAGGAATCGACGAGCGCGCAGCTTTGTGCTTTCGGCCTGTTACTACTACTCGCGGTTCAGTGGTCTCTAGTGTAGCTAATCGCCCGTAATAACACGGTGCTAGAGCCTCGAGTCCTGTGTTCGAATCGACCTCCATTCAACTTCCAGTTGCAAATGTCAAATCCCTAGCTTTGACGAGAGGTGAGAATTACAAATTTGGGTAACTTTGTTCGAGCTAAGAAATAGGAGACGGGAAAAAGGAGGAACAGCAGATATGGGATTGGCGAGACGAAGCAGGAGCTGTGTAAAAAATATGCGAATTGCCTCCCGTATTTCCCAAGTTTGTTCGTACGCGCTTGGAATTGCTCGTTTGGCCTCATTTGAACTGCTGAGACTGCGACGGCGCTTGTGTTGTGCTGCACGACTGACATGTTCACCAGTGTGCGATTCGCAAAAAATGCTTCGTCGCTGTGCGAAACCGTTCAAGGAAGCCTCGCTGCAGCTCCGCTGCTGCTGCGACGAGCAGACGACGACAAGCGGTGGGCATCGGTGGGGAGAAGCGCGGAATATTCCAAATTATCTTATTGGCTGGGAAGGACTGCGACGGTAAGTAAACGTCAGACGAAGAGTGCGGCGTCGCATGACCTTGTAACGCCGACACGGATTGGGTCCAGCATCACCGGAACTTTTTGGCCTGCCGCGTTTGACCAGACTCGCTTTCAAAACTTTTTGAATTCCATTCTACAAGGGACTCGCTTACACAACAACTGTTCTATATAGTAAGCTAATTGCATGGTGCAATTCTTTGTAAACATTGGTTTTGTAACGCTTTGCCCAAAACCATGTAGCAAAAGGGATGAGTGGTGAGCCTACAATTCTAAAATTAGGGTATATTACACGTTAGACATCCACACCTTAATTAGGGCAGGGGTTCTTGCACATTGGCGAGACGGTTGAGGTGGAGGTAGACATCTGTGCCATAGCCCTCCATTGACACCACCTGCAGGTCGCCTCCAAAGTAGCGCGCATACAGCCGACTGATTGGCAAACCGTAGCCGTAGCCCGCCCTGCTCCATACAAGCACACGCAGCACCATCACGGTCAAAACAAGCAAAGGCAAATACGTGCAAAGCACACGTCCTGGTAATGGGCTGTGTGGAAGGTGAGGGTGGAGAGTGCATGTACGGTCGGTAAGGCCGGAGAGTGCATGGAGTTCTGGAGGCACAATTTTGGTAGAAGCAGCACCCGACCACACACCCCACACAGCCCACCCCACCCCACCAGCAGCACGCACATGATGGAGGGCGTTGTCCTGCAGAGCGCCACATGTCTCACTCATGACGTACATAGTACACAGCCCCCCACACATCAACATTTCCCCACTCCCTCCCCCCAACCACCCCACCACCGGCACGCACATGATGGAGGGAGTGTCCTGCAGAGCGCCAGCAGCAGCAGGCGAGCGGGCCGTGCTATAGAGATACGTCCAGATGCGCGGCAGCCCACTGCGCGGGATGCCACCCCCCTCGTCTGATATCTGTGGGCAGGGGGAGGACACACATTGCAGGCGGTGGTGAGTGAGAGGTGGCAGCAGGCGAGTGTGCTGTGCTGTAGAGGTACGTCCAGATGCGCGGCAGCCCACTGCGCGGGATGCCACCCCCCTCGCCTGATATCTGAAAGGGGTGGGTGGGGCGGGGAGGACACACATCGCATGGGGGGAGATGGCATGGTGGTGAGTGAGAGGTGGCAGCAGGCAAGCGCGCCGTGCTGTAGAGGTATGTCCTGATGTGCGGTAGGCCACTGTGCGGGATGCCCCCTCCTTCATCTGATATCTGCAGGTAGAGGGACACAGCACAGCATCGAGGAAACGAGGAGAGGGCGCAGCACAGGGGGAAAAGGGCGTGCTGGTGAGAGGGAGGCAGCAGGAGGCAGGCAGGCATGTCGAGATGTGGACTCGGACAGGTTCAGATGCACGAGAGAGTCCAGTGCAGAACTCTCCTCTTGTCAAGCTGTAGACTCCTTATTTGATTGGTCATTGGGACATGACGAGAGGAGGGAGGCAGGAAGGGAGGGGGTTGGGGGAGTTGGATGCGTGCGTGACAGGCAGCACAAATCCCCATATGCATTACACGACAACCACCACTTATAATCACGTTCCCCCAGCAACCACCTACCTTTATAGTGACATCCTCGATCCCATCCGCCACCACCACGCGGATGGGCGGCGGGTCGGTGTCAGCATCAGCGAATCGCTCCTGCACGGCGCGCAGCGAGTTCTTGCAGAGCTCGAATACCATCTGGTGCAGATGCGTTGGCACGTAGCTGCAGTGCGGTGTGGTGAAAGAGGGGTTCAGATGGGTGGGAGAACATAGAGACCAGAATGGCAGAGCGACTATGAGGCCAAGGAGAGGATATTTTGTTGCATAGGGTTTTATCAGTTTTGGTGGAAGAAGTTTCATCTTTGTGTAGCAGATAAAATAGGGTTGCAAAAGAGCTTGTACGTACAGCATTCATGCAAAGGGTTTCGAGTTGAAGGTTTCGGGTTTAGGGCATGAGAGTAATGTGTGGGCAGGTGGTGCACGCACGCGAATGTGAAGTCGGGGTCCCCGTAAATCTCCACCTCAGGCGCAGAGCCATACGTGCGCATGCATGCCGACCGCGCGTCATCCACTGCATTGCGCGCCACATCCACTGGCGATACCTTGGTGCAGATGAGGCTGAAAGTGGCCAGTGGGGGGGAGCGGAAAGGTGGGTGGGGGGGAAATGGATGAGAGCGCGCATCCTCCCTCCACTGCATTGCGCGCCACATCCACTGGCGACACCTTGGTGCAGATGAGCCTGGGCGTGGGAATAACAGGGGGGAAGGGAGGGAGAGGGGGGGTGGGACAGGAAGACAGGGTGAGAGGGGATGGGGTGAGACCGTGTGTCTTCCACTGCATTGCGCGCCACATCCACTGGCGACACCTTGGTGCAGATAATCCTGGGCGCAGCAGCAGGGGGGGAGAGGGGGCAAGCAGGGAATGGCATGGTGAGAGTGCGCTGTGCATTACCCCTTGACTGCATTGCGCGCCACGTCCACTGGCGACACCTTGGTGCAGATGAGCCTGGGCGTGGGGACAAGGGGGGGGGTGGGGGAGGGGGAGGTGGAGGAGACAGAAAGAGAGGCTGAGAGGAGATGGCGTGAGAGCGTGCCACATCCACTGGCGACACCTTGGTGCAGATGAGCCTGGGCGCAGCAGCGAGCAGGGTGGGAGATGGGGGAAGGGGGGGAGGAGGTGAGGGTGTGAGAATCCGGGGGAAAGGAGAGGGGATGGAAGGAGGGGAAGGGGTAGACAGGCTGTGCAGGGATGGGGTAGGAGTGTGGATCCTGCTGCGCGTTGCATTATATATCCACTGGGAACGCCTTGGTTCAGATGAGACTAGGAACAACCGAGGGGAGAGTGGAGAGCAGGAGTGAGGAGGTGGAGGGGGAGGGAACTGGGGAAGTGAGGAAGACAGGAAGAGAGGGGAGGAGATGAGAGCATGGATCCTGCGCTGAGTTGCATTGCATGCCGCCACATCCACTGGGGGGATCATGAGGCTGGGGGGAACATGAGCTGGGGGGAACATGAGGCTGGGGGGATGAGATGGCACCAGGCACTTGCTGCATGCCCGGCTGCACCCCCTGGGGTTACTAGTGCACCCAATGAAGTGGGGTGGGGAGGGGAAGAGGCGCACCCAATGAAGTGGGGGGGCGGGTTGGGGTCGTGCAGAGCGACATGCTGGCCTATGAGCATGCGGATGCCGATGCGTGACATGTAGAACCGATCCTGGTGGGTGTGGGCAGGGGGAAGGGCGTGAGGAGCGGGAGGGGTGTGGGGAGGGGTGTGAGGAGGTGGAAGGAAGGGGGCAAGGAGGCAGAGAGAAGGTGGTAGGATAGGCAGCAAAGAAGGCTTGCTAATGCAGGCTTGCCCATGCTGCAGCCACGGTGACAGGTACAGGAGCGAACGGGCAAATGGCACTCTCGACTCACTCCTGGAAGGGTAGTGCGATGAAATACGGTGAGGGCAGGAGTGGCAGTACGGGCAGGGAGGGGTGGGGACAGGTAATGGCGAGGACAGGGAGGGCAGGGCAGGCAGGGAGAGCAGGCAGGCAGGCAGGCAGGGAGGCAAGCAGGGCAGGGCAGGGGAGAGCAGGGGAGGGCAGGGCGGGGAAGGAAGGGCAGGGCAGGGGAGGGCAGGTAGGAGGGTAGGGCAGGTAGGAGGGTAGGGCAGGGCAGAACAGGGGAGGGCAGGGGAGGGCAGGGCAGGGGAAGGGAGGGGAAGGCAGGCAAGGGCAAGGGAGATCTGGGGAGGACAGGGAGGGCAAAGAGGGCAAGGCAGGGGAGGGGTGAAGAGTGTGAGGGAAGGAGGAGAGGGGCGTACGAGGAACTGGTGGATCTCCAATAGGTCGTCCAGACGCCCCTTGCGCCCAAGGTCCTGCTTCAACTCGTTGATGCCCATCGCCATCTGCCATGCCATGCCGTGGTGTGTCATGGTGTGCAATGCCATGCCGTGCCATGCCATGCCATGCCATGCCATGCCACACACGTTGAACATGGAGCACCGAACAGCATATAAGACGAAACTCACTGACCACCACCACGCACACTTGCTCGTCCTGTCCACATGCAAACGGCCTTTTCCCTCCAACCCAACCCAACCCAACCCAGCACCCTCTCACTGACCGTGGGGATGACGTTGTTGTGGCGCATCTTGACCTGCGCGAGCAGGTGCGTGAAGCGCAGCTCCTCCTCGCGGCTCTCAATGGCCGGGAACCCGCGGATGTCCTTGAACGAGTCCACGTACCAGTCGCGCACCTGCCAGGGCACGCACACATGCATGTGGGGGAGGGAGTGGGCGAGGTAGGAGGGTAAAGACGACAGGGAGTGAGAAAGCAGGTAAATGCGCACAAGAGCGCCACACGAGAGGCACACAAGCGGGGCGCACGGGAAGCACATGCATACACATGTCCTTCACGCAGACTAGCACCTCGAGGAGAGAAAGAGAAGGCAGTGACGTTGAGCGCCTTGAGCATAGAGAGAGGCGAAGGAGGGAAGCAGGTCACCTTGAGCACGGGCGCCTTGGTGGAGAGGCCGTAGGGGAGGTTTTCGAGCTCCGTGACGCGGTGGGCGAGGCGCACGGGCAGCTCCTGCTGCAGAAACTGCGCGGAGGAGAGGAGATTGCGCTCCGTGGGGAAGGCGCCGTGCGCCATCATGTTCTTGAGGCTCACGCCCGTCTGCTTCTTGAACGAACACCGGTAGATCTGGCCGCGGGGGAGTGGAGGGTGAAGGGGGTTGTATTGTGAGGTGGATCTGAAAAGTGGTTGCGGATAGTAAAGAACGCGCCGTGCGGATCATGAGGCTCACGCCTGCCTGCGACTTGAACGGGCAACGGTAGATCTGGGCGAAAGGCGCGGGATGCGGGGGACGGCGAGGTGCGAAGGTGGAAGATGAGAGAAAAGTGCGAGAGTTTGAGGAGAGGAGAGGAACAGGGCAAAAAGTTTGAGGAGAGAAAGCATGCGAAGTGGGAAAGAAGAAGCGAGAGAAAGGGAGAGATGGAGGGAGGAGGAGATGAGGGAGGGACGGGAGGAGGGGTGGGGGGATGCGCGGCTTACGTCAGCGACGACATTTGATGGTAGCACTTGCGCCAGCTTTCGCGCTGACGTTCGCGCAGTCATGACAGACATCGTCGAGGTGCTGATCGGTTCTAATGAGGAACTACTATCTGAACGTATGCAATGTACTGTACAATGCGCGGTTGGTCATTCTGTGTGCGCGCGAACACTGGGAAAAAAGAACAGCGGAAACCGACTGACTAGCAAAAGCACCCTATCCGTCTGTTCTCAGCTCCGTGTCTAGAACGTATCGGTAAATCCGCCATGGGATGAATTGAAAGGAACACGAATTGTAGGAAGTAGATGGGTTAAACTTGCAGGCAAATGGCGCTCGCACACACGCACGCACGCACCACTTCAAGCCGAAATGGTCAACGAAACAGCTATTCCTCGAGAGGGCAAAAGAAGGAAGCGTTCGAGAGTTACAATGGTTTCACAAGCCAAACTGGATACAAATCAAGCCCGAGGACTGGCTGAAGCGTAGCTATAGGCTAACGAAACGGCTGTGGTGATGCGGGCTCACGGTCAGTCGATTAGGTAATGGCGATCACTTGCAGCTACTGACGATTCGTGCGGGACTCAGGAATAAGGAAGGCTGTGTACATGGTAGGTTTGGAGCGGTGTGATATGGTGCACGTGGTGAAAAAAATAGCCACGTGTTAGAGCTTCAATGAACCGCTCTGACACGTACACAACCGTTCTAAAACGCCCTAGATTGTACTAATCAAACGTCAAGCGCAAGGCGTGGCAAATCCGCAATTCGCAGTGCCCTGATTGCTTTGCTTTGCAGTCAGTGGCAGGAAGACATGATGGGTCGAGTGACACAACGGGGAAATGCGGGAAACGCGCGGAATGCGGGAATGGAGGGGAGGGCGGAAGTGATCCTGCTTCCCAGCCGCCAGGATGTCCAAAGGGAACTCGTGGTGCTGAAGGAAAGGTGGAAAATCGCGACCAAGTGGTACGAGAGAGTAACTTCGGCTACACTCATTATTGAACAATACACTCCTCAACCCATGTGGCACTAGCAGCAAAGGTGCAAGTATTGTGCATAGACTGTTGGTCACACCATAAGTTATGAGTACATTTCAATGAGAAATTGAGTCAACATGAAAAAATCAACTGCAAAAGAAAGCGTACATCTCCTTTCAAATAGACACACTCGTTTTGTGTCACACTACACTACACCAGCTATTCATAAAAAGTAGCTCGGAGGTGAAAGAAGAATTTCCCTTTCGGGGTGGATTATAATGGGACTCGCTTTCCATTGTTGACGTGGCATGTTCAACGGTGTTCTTTATGCCAGTTAGCTCTTGCTGACAAGGCTTCAGGCTATTTTGGCCTGGCAAATTGGCACAAAGCAAACCAGGTCGTGTTTGTAAACTTCCCAAAAGAGGACTCTTCTTTCTTGTTTGAGGGTTTCGATCTATCACAGCGTGCTCGAATTTGTAGCAGTTTTGAGTGCCTAGACCTTCGAGCGAATGCGCCCTTGGGGTTCCGGCTTTGGCAACCCCTTTGCGCCCCGTCAGACATCAAACAATTCTTGCTCAGAGAGAACAGCGCGATTCGAAATTCGTCTGAGGCCGAGAAGTTATTGCTGTCTGTAGTACTCCCCCTGTGGAGCCGCTGCGGCGGCGTGGGATTCCCGCTCGTTTCACCTTCTCAAGGCAATCAGCGCACCCACAGCTTATCCCACAGGCCAGTTCGATGAACGCGAAATCCACTAGCTTCCTTGCATCCAGCTATCACTATATAAGCTTACTTGACTTCCCACGATAGTCACCAGACCTTCACGCCTATTGATTCCTCTCCTGTCCTCAAAAAGCTCTTCATACGTTCTGTTTTCTGCGACATTGACCAGAGCGCTTACATAGAGTTTCACGTGCAAGCCGCCATGAAGAGTCTCAAGTTTCTCTCCCTGCTGTTCGCGCTCTCCCTTCTCCTGTCCCTCGTGCTCGCGCCACTGTGCCACGCGAATGAGATTGCGAACGACGCCGAGGACGACGACGATTTTGACGATGATGACAACGCCCTTGTCGCAACTTCGCCTGGTAAGATCCCCGCCGTACATTTTGTGCCACCGAACAAACACAAAAATTCCAGACGCATTCCACTCGTGGGCCACCACCCGCAACCTCGATTACATCTTCGCCCCGGTTTTCAGTATATTATGATTCTCTAACCCACTTTGCCCTCGTTTTCTTGATTCCAGGTTTCTTGGGTGCGCTGGTCGGCGGAAGCCGTCGGTTTCTGTGGTCGCCTCAGGTGCACCGCGTGCTAGCAAGCTCGGAGTGCAAGAAGAAGTGCGACAAGAAGAAGAAGAAGTGCAAGTCCAAGAACTCCGACTGCAAGTCCGATGCGGACAATAACGAGGACAAGGGCGAGTGCAAGGACAAGTACAAGAAGTGCAAGGACAAGGCGAAGCGCTGCAAGGAAAGATGCGACTAAGTCACTTGCCGCATTGCAGGGGGGTTTGCGCGGTGTGGTCCTCGCATCAGGAAATCGCACGTTTCTAGATGGGTAGAAGCGGTGGTAGGTCGAAAGTTGGAACCTTACCAACTTATTAGTCTCGTCATGTGTCAGTCGTTACTAGTTATTTATTCATTTCAGCAGAGAACAGCAAGAGCTGTTGACTCTCGTCCGGAACAATGTGCGCTTAGAAGCAGTTGCTCACAAGCCCACACCTTCGCAGGGAAGAAAATAACAACGTGGCTGGTTAGAACTGGCGAATGTGTGATGCTTGACAAAGAAACACATACGTGTTAATAAGCACATGGTAACTACTGGCGTTCTTTCGGGGACGGAAGAAACTTGAAAGGCGAGCAAGCACAATCAATGCATAAAAGAAGGAGAGGTGGCCAACAGGTTCAGAATGAGAGAATGTGATACTGAAGTGTCTGACTGAAGATAAAAACAAGAGTGATTCCGCCCTTGATTGTTTCTTATCAGAGTGATTGTTTTATCCATTTAACGCCTCCAATCTTGTTCTGTTTTTTTTACCTTCTGCACAACTCTGCTACATCAGACACGACTTCTTGGTCACAGCAACTTCAGACACTGCTACTGTTGTGACAACAGCACAAGAAAGCAATGGCAGTGCTGTAATAGCAGCAGTGACGGACACTGCTGCTATTGTCACAAGAGCATCTGACATACGACATCACCAGCAACGGACGCTGCTGCTATTGTCATAGCTACAATGGACTGCTGCTATCACATTAGCAATATCAATTCTCCTATTTTCACAGCAGTATCTAACACGGTGGCATTTGTCATGGCAGGTAGAGTCATCACTGCTGTGACAGCAGCACGTGATGCTATTGTCACAACACCACAGCAGTACCAGCCTAGCTGTTGTCACAGCAGGACCAAACACAACATCAGTACCTGCCAATGTGGCTGTTGTCAGAACAGGCACTACCGGTATCATCACAGCGGCAAGTGACACTCTCCAGAAATAACGCTTTCAGCAGCCTCAAGAATTTTCAGCTCATTTCAACATTCTCCTGTATTTGCTTTCTCATGATTTCATCAATTTTTTATGTGAATGACATTGCTGCAATAATTCAGGAACATATGGTAAGATGAACAGGTTTGCACACGGACGCTGGCGAGTACACTGTGCTACAATCGAAGTTTGGACGGGGTTTTGCCTGGAAAGCGTACGCGCTAAAGTACAGACGCGGAAATTGTCGAACCCACACATACCATATCCCTCTCAGAGCAATTTTTGGCAAACGAGCTCTTGACCTGCCTCACTCAAATCAACCCATCCCCCGTCATTCTCGCATCCTCAAAATACCCCTGAATCCTTGTGAATTCCCACTATCTCCAACCAAGGTATTTGGCATTATCACGCGCCGCTATGACTGATCATGCCATCGGTCCTAGCAAAGTTCGCGGTGGACCCTGATTGCCTAGTTGAAGTTAAGGGGGTTTTGTACCAGGTGGTGTTTGAGAAATTGCAAGAACTTTTCGCGACGCCGTAAACCGTCAGAACCCCATTTCGGGACTCGCGGAGCTTGCGGTGGAAACGAACTACCTCATTGAGTTGAACGCCGTTTTGTAGCAGGTAGGTTCTTAGAATCCCGTCGAGAACCTTCCGCGACGCCATGAACCATCAGATTCCCCCGTCGGGGCCAGCGGAGCTCGCGGTGGACCCCGAATACCTCGTTAAGGTGAACTCGTTTATCCGCCAGCGCCGCCTCGAGCTGCTCGGCCCCGACAACATCGCGCCCGTCTCCGCCGTGCAGGTCGCTCCGCCGCACCACCCCCCTATCCAACCGCACCAGCACCCTATCCAACCGCACCAAACCCCTATCCAACCGCAAATAGAACCCCAACACACTGCGCTGGTTGGCCCCGCCAGCATCGCGCCCGTCTCCGGCGCGCAGGTAGCTCCGCCGCGCAATCCAAACCCTGCCGCTTTAGCCGCCAGCGATCCATCTGCTCGGCGATTCGCTCAGCCCGCTACAGACGGCTTCGGGAATGCCGCGGCTGATGGCGCGTTGTCCGCCGTTGGATCGTCAACGAGGCCGGCGATCAACGGTGCGCCGGCGGATGGGCTAGAAGATGGCAATATGAGGGCCAACGGCGGGACGAGCCTCCCTGCTGCTGCAGCAGTACCGTCAGTGACGACTGCTGCAGTACCGGCAGCCACAGCCCCTTCAGTGGCAGCTGCTGCAGTACCCACACACACAGCCCCTTCAGCTGCTGCTGCTGCTGCTGCTGCTGTTGTTCCTGCTGCCGCAGCGGTTGCGGCTGCAGCTGCTGTTACATCGAGCGTTGCTTCTCAACCCGTCATCAATGCTGCTGCCACTCCTCCGACTCCCATTGCACCGCCTCCGACCCATCCCTCCGCGAGTGCTCACTCCGCTGCCACGTCAGCAACGACTGCTGCTCCCGTCGTGACAGCTGTCCCTACTGCCGGCGCGGACGCAGCAGCTGCGGGATCGTCTGTTGCCACGGAACCCACTTCTGCTCCCCCGCTCAGTGCTGCTGCTACCGCCGTCCGTGTCCCAGCGCCGTCCCTGCCTGCTACTGCCGGCGTTGCTGCTGCGCGCGCCACAACAAGTCCTGAGGCGGGGCAACCCGCGCCTGCTGGCGCAGCCGTGGCTGGTGCGCTGCTGCAGCAGCCGCAGGGGTGGCAGGCGGAGGGGGACGCTGGCGCGCGCAGGCAGGGGAGCGCGCAGGGCGATAGAAAGGCGGATGCTTCTAACGGGAGTGTTTCTAAAGGGGGAGGTGAGGGGGGAGAGGGGGAGGAGGATGAGGGGAGTGGTGATGGGGATGGCGGGGGAAGGCGAGGAGGCGGGCGGAGGGGTGGGGGAGGGAGCGGGGGAGGAAGAGGGGGCGGAGGTAACAGAAGGGGAGGGGGAGGGGGAGGGGCGGGGGGTTCTTCGTCTGGGGGAGGGCGGGGAGGGGGAAGCAGGGGGTACGGGGGAAGGGGAGGAGGGGGTGGAGGAGGCGGAAGGGGAGGCGGGTGGAGGGGGGGGAGGGGGGAGAAGGGGGGGAGGGAGCAGGTCGGCGGATGGGGGAACGGCCCCTGGGGCTTCGGGGGAAGAGGCGGAGGGGTGGGAAGAGTATGGGGAAGAGGGGGAGGAGGATGGAGGGGAGTGGATGGCTGGGGAGGAGGTTGTGGGGGAGGGGGAAGGGGAGGGGGAGGGGGAAGGGGAGGAGGAGCAGGGGGATGGGGGCATTGATGAACGGGAGGAGGAGAGGAGGGAGGAAGAGGAGAGAGGGAGAGAGGAGAAGGGGCATGAGCAGGCGAATTCTGAGAGAATGACTTTGGGAAACGGGGTAGGGGACGGGAGAGGGGGGTTAGAAGGGGGAGAGGGGGGAGAAGGGGGAGAAGGGGGAGACGGGGGAGACGGGGGAGACGGGGGAGAGCGGGGAGAGGGGCAAGAGTTGCGAGAGGGGGTAGTAGAGAGGGAGGAAGTGGCGGAGCAAGGGCAGGTGATGGAGGAGGGGAGGGGAGGGGGCGACGTGGAAGAGGAGGGGGAGAGGCGAGGAGATGAGAGGGTGGCAGACCGGGCATTGGAAGGGACCGAGATTGCGGGAGAGGGAGGCTTAGGAAGAGGTGAAGCAGGAGAGTGTGCTGCAGATGAAGCGAGGGCGGATGGGGAGTGTGGCGCAAAGAAAGAGAATTCTGGGCCGACTCAAGAGTCGCCTGGTGCTGCGTGTACGGATGGGGGGTGTGGGAGTGGGACGGAGGAGGAGAAGGGCGAGGGGGTGGAGCGTGAGGAGGGGGAGGAAGGAGGCGGTGGGGAGGAGATAGCAGCCGAGGCGGGGAGTGGGGAGAAGGAGAGGGAGGACGTGGAGGAGAGAGAAGGAGAGGAGCGGGGAAGAGAAGTGAGTGAAAATTTGGAGAGGGGTGTCGAAAGGGAGAGGCTGGGGGAAGGGGAACGGCAGCAGGAAGGAGAAAAGGAGCAGGAAGGAGTGCCGGAAAAGGAACAGCAAGGGGAGGGGGAAGGGGAGAACGGAGAGGAGCAGGAGAGGGTGGAGGATGATAGGCAGGATGTGAGTGGGTCAGGAAAACCACCAGTTGAAACGAGTCGATTGACAGATGCTGCCTCGTGCTCTCCCTCTGCTCCTTCTCTCCCGGAGACCGCGGCAGATGCCTCTCCGACTCCTGCTGTTGCCTCCGCTCCTCTGGCGATAGCTGCAGGGAGTGCTGCGGCGATTCCCGCAGCGAGTGCGGATACAGAGGGGATTCGTGGCATTGCAGATGGGTACGGTGCGGTGGGTGGCGGCAGAGAGTGCACCCCGCTGGTGGCAGAGGCAAGTGAGGAGCAGCAATCTCACACATTGCCAGCGAACACGCTGCACACACAGTCACAGACAGAGACATGCGAGCATGCGGCAGGCTGCCTTGTCCCCTCCGGCCCAGAGTCACCTTCCCTCCTCCCAGCCTCACCAGCAGCTGCTGCCGCCTCTCCTCTCCCTACTACGGCCTCTCTCTCCTCAGCCACCCCTCCCTCCGCCACACCTCCTCACCCCTCTTCTTCTCCTCTCCCCGCTTTTCCATGCTCCCTTGCTTCTGCAACCCTCCCCTCTGGGAGTTCCTCTCCCCAGCCAACCCTCGCCCCTTCAGAGGCGTCCCCCCAGCCAGCCCTTTCCCCCGCTGCAAGCACAGCACCTGGCACCCCTCCCGCCCCTGCACTGCCAGAATCAGCAGCAGCAGCAGCAGCAACAGCAACAGCTGATTCCCCCCACGGGGTTCCAGACGCAGAGAAGGGCATTCTCGGCAAGGGCCACGGTCCCCCTCTCACCCTGCCCATGCCCATGCCTCTGCCCATGCCTATGCCTCTGCCTGTGCCTCTGCCCGTTCCCCCTGGTGTTAGCGCCATGCAGTGCGCGCCTGGGGGCTGGGCTGGTGTTGCTGCTGATGCTGCATGGCATGCCATGCCTGCTGGTATGCCCATGCAGGGAGGGGGTCCAATGGCCGTGCCGGGAGGGGTGCCCATGCCTACGCCTCCTGTGCATGGAGAAATGTACATGCCCATGCATGCGCCTGGTGCTGTAGGCATGGGAGCAGGCATGGGAGCAGGCATGGGAACAGGCATGGAGATGGGTATTGGGATGGGTAGGGAGGCGTGCATGGGTGTGGGCATCGGTACAGGCATGGGCACAGACATGGGCGTTGGAGCAGGGGCTTGTGGTTGGGGCAGGGATGGGAGGGCATGGCAAGGGCAGGGGGGGATGGAGGGCTCTGGTTGTGCCGCTGGGGAGGAGTGGGGGATGAGTGGAGGGGCGGCCAGAGCGGAGAGGGTGGGTGTGGGGAAGGGAGGGGAGGAGGAAGGAGAAGGATGGGTTGGAGCGACAGTGTTGGGTGCTGGGGTTGGGAAGGAGTGCGGTGTGGGGGGGAGAGGAGGCAGAGGAGGAGGAGGAGGAATAGGAGGCAACAGTGGTAAGAGAGGAGGGAGGGGGTCAGGAGAAGCAGGGTCAGCCACGTGTGCAGCACCTGTCCACGTGTACTCCTTTGAGCAGCTCAAGCAGATCGGGCTGCAATCCGTCCAGTACCAGCGTGACACGTGGCGCACCATGAATGGCAGCACGCAGCTGGCTGTGGAAGAGCTCATGAGGGACGTGGCAAGAGGGGGGGGCGGGGGAGGCGCAGGGGGAGGCGGAGGGGGAGGAGGGGGAGGGGCGGGGGAGAAGGGGTCACGGCGGAAAGGGCGGAAGAATGCAGGGGGGCAGGACCAAAGTGGGAGGGGGGGGAGGGGTCGAGGAAATGCACATGGTGAGGGCAGCAGCAACAATGGCAACAGCAACAGCAACAGCGGCGGTGGTATCTGGGGCAGTCCGAGTGGGCGTGGGGGAAGTGAGGCGATAGCCGGGACTGAGACGCACACGGCAGGCTGGGCAGCTGAGGCCAGAGGGTATGCTGCTGCTGCCGCTGCTGCCGCTGCTTCTGATGCTGCTGCCACTGCCGTAGGTGCTGCCGCTGCTGCTGCTGGCGCTTCTGTCACCGGTACTGCTGCTGTTGCAATCGCAGCCACTGCTGCCACTGCTGCTACCAGCAGCGGGGAGGGTGGTGGTGGTGGTGGTGGTGGTGGTGGTGGTGGTGGTGGTGGTGGTGGTGGTGCCACAATGGTGACTGGTGCAACAGAAGAGGCTTCTACTATAGGAAACACTGAGGATGCATGCCTTTCCAGGACCGCGGATGATGCTACTGCCACTCCTGCCACCACAACAGCTGCTGCTGCCGCACAAACGAGGGGAGAAGAGGTGGGGGAGGCAGGGCAAGCAGGTGATGGTGAGATAGGCAAGGCTGGGCCGACACAGAAGATGGATGAAGAAGCCGGGAGCAACGCAGCCGATGCCAATGCTGCTGCTGCTGCTGCCACTGCTGCTGCGGGTGTTGCTTCTGCTGTTACTGCTTCTGCTGGCGTTACTGCTGGTGGCAGGTGGGATGGTCTGAATGTGTGTGGAACGACCGAGTCACAGCGCCGACCACGCCTAGAGGAGGAGCGGTGGGGGGGCCAGTGCGGCAAGCAGCAGGGGGGAAAGCAGGAAGCGCGGCAGCAGGAGGAGGAGTGGGAGGAGGAGGAGGAAGAAGAGGAGGAGGAGGAGGTGCAGGCGAGGGCTCTGCCGGTGTATGGCGAACCGGACTTCTCCATTCCTCATCCCCTGGACGGGTTGGAGTACCTCCGGCGTGTCAGGTGAGGAGAGGGGGATGTACGTACTGACGGAGAGGTATGAAGAGTGAGTAGAGTGGAGTGGACAGAGGAGGTGCAGGCGAGGGCTCTGACGGTGTGTGTCGAGCCGGACTTCTCCATTCCACACCCCCGGGACGGGCTCGAGTACTTGCGCCGCGTCAGGTGAGGCTGGTTCGTTTTGACACGTCTCAACTCAAAACAGACTTCTCCATTCCACACCCCCTCGATGACCTCGAGTACCTGCGCCGCGTCAGGTGAGGGGTGCTAGCAGGAGGGAGGGATTTTATGAGCGTATTGCACAAGCCCTTCAAAGGTGGATGTTTTCAACAATCCCTGTTTCCAAGTCCAGGGTAGGAGAGTCAACTTGTGCCACCACTCAGAACAGGAAATTCTACTAAATTTCCCTCGTTCCTCCATTTGTTTTCTAAACTCCCATCACTCCAAATCCCCTCAAATCCCGCCACTTCACGCGTTTCCTTTCCTCGCCTCCTCCCGCCTCCCCTCGCCTCCTCTCTGGTCCGCCCTGTGCAGGTGGGAGCGGGAGCGCGTGCCCAAGGTGGTCGTCGCAGCAGCCAATGAGAAGCCGCCACCTGGCGGCAATCCCACTAGCAGCACTGACGGCAGCAGAAGCAGCAGCAGCAGCGGTGCCCCAGTGACCCTGTCTGCACGCTACCTGCCGCGAGTGGCTGCTGTGCCGGCCTGCCCCGCCCTGTTGCTGCCCTCCCCTGAGTGGCGGCAGTACGTGCAAGCCGCCTTTGGTTACCTGCGACAGGTGAGTGGTGTTCTGCTCTGCTGTGCGGGTTATGTGTTTTTACTTTCTGTGCTGCGTCAGGTGAGTGCTGCATGTGCCTGCCTGCCCCGCCCTGTTGCTGCCTTCCCATGAGTGGCGGCAGTACGTGCAAGGTGCATTTGGGCACCTGCGCCAGGTGGGTGCCTTTCTGCTGCGCCAGCTAGATGTTTCCCTGCCGCTCGAGGTGGGTGCTGCTGTGCATGGCATGGCGCCAGGTGGGTGGGTGCTGCTGTGCATGGCATGGCGCCAGGTGGGTGGGTGCTGCTGTGCATGGCATGGCGCCAGGTGGGTGGGTGCTGCTGTGCATGGCATGGTGCCATGTGGGTGCTGCTCTGCATGGCATGGTGCCATGTGGGTGCTGCTGTGCATGGCATGGTGCCATGTGGGTGCTGCTGTGCATGGCATGGTGCCATGTGGGTGCTGCTGTGCATGGCATGGTGCCATGTGGGTGCTGCTGTGCATGGCATGGTGCCATGTGGGTGCTGCTGTACATGGCATGGTGCCATGTGGGTGCTGCTGTACTGTGAGGCGCCGCACAGGTGGGGGGCGGTGCTTGCCGGTGGCTGATTGCCTTCGTGATTAACGGAGGGGGTATGAGGACATCCTGTGAGGGGTGAGATTGATACGGTTCTCGTTAACCAAACTCTCTGCTGCCCGACTCTACCACACACTACCCCACTCAATCCCCCTCTTACCACTCTATCCCACTCTACCCCACTTCTTCCCATCATCCCCACCATTCTAGCAGAGCCTCGAAGGCGTTGACGAATCACGAGTCGCCACGTGTCACGGCATGCCCATCCCATCCCACCGCGACCTGCACGCATGGCACTCCTACTGTTTCGGCCGTGCACTGCCTTGTGAAAAAGGGGAGGGGGGCGAAGGGGCAGTAGGGGGAGGGGGTGTCAAACAGAAGGCGAAGAGGAGATCGGGAAGGAAGGCGGGTGGTAAGGGTGAGGGAGAGGATTGCAGAGAGGTGAACCAAGGGGAGGGGAGCGAGAGAGGAGAGAGTGAGGGTGGAGAGAGTGACGAGGAGGGAAGCAGAGAGGGGGGAGGGGAAGTGGATGGGGATGATGAGGAGAAGGATTTGATTGGAGAAGAAGAGGGGGTTGCGTGGGAGGAGGACGTGGATGGGGAGAGAGGGGGGGATGAGGGAGTGGAGGGGGTTGGGAGTGGAGGAAGGGAGGAGGAGGTGGGTGGTGAAAGAGGAGAGGAGGAGGTGAAGGGTGAAAAGGGAGAGGAAGAAAAGGAGGATGGTGGAGAGGGGAAGACGAAGGAGGGGGGTGAGGTTTGTTGTGGTTCGGAAGCAGAGGGTGGAGGGATGGAGGATGGAGATAAGAGGGAGAGCGAGTGTGTGGAGAAAGGTGGAGGGGAAGACGAGAGAGGAGAGGGAGGGGAGGCGCGTGAAGCAGGAGCTGATGGGAATGTGGAAGGCGGGAGCTTGAGAGAGGAGGCGGACGGTGATGCCGGTGCTAGCATGCGTGACACGGCATGTGACATTCCACATGACACTGCACATGACACTGCACATGAAACTTTACATGACACTGCAGATGACACTGCATGTGACACTGCACATGATATTGCATCGGTTGCAAGTGAGAGCGAACAGGGAAAGCAGCAGCAGCAGCAGCAAGAAGAGGGACGAGGGGAAGGTGAGGCACCCAGAGGCCTGGCGCTGCTGCTGCCGTGCACGACAGCGCACAGCAAGGCACCCAATGAAGGAATCTCAAGAGGACTCACAGAAGGGCTGCTGGAAAAGCTGTCAGATCATCTGCCGGAGGCACTTTTGGTAAAGGGGCTTTCTGTGACGGACCCTGAAGGAGTTGCAGGGGGGACGGAGGAGGAGAGGGTGGTTGCAGAAGGGGAGACGGCAGGGGATGGTGTGGCAGGGGATGGTGTGGCAGGGGATGGTGTGGCAGGGGATGATGTGGCAGAGGATGGTGTGGCAGGGGATGATGTGGCAGGGGATGGTGTGGCAGGGGATGGTGTGGCAGGGGATGGTGTGGCAGGGGATGGTGTGGCAGGGGATGATGTGGCAGGGGATGTGATGGAAAGGGGCGATGGAGGTGTGGGTTGTGATGGATTGGAGGCAAATACGGAGCTCGGTGCTACAGATGTTGTTGCTACAGATGTTGGTGCCATGGATGCTGCTGCTACACCAACAGCAACTGCTGAGGATAACAGTTTGACTGACGGCGGTTATGATGTAGATGGTGATTTGGATGCCGACGCTGATGTGGACACGGAAGATGATGCTGAGGTGGACGCTGACGTGGAAGCAGCACTGGACGAGATGATCAACTACTCGGGACCCCTGCCTCTGTGGGTGCCAGATAATGACAAAAGCAGCAACCCTGGTCTTGACCCATCAGAAGACTTGACTGAGCAACCATCCATGCCCGTGCCATGGCCGTCAGATGCTGACGTGGCAGCCATGGAGTGCGTGCTCCCGGGCCGGGCCAATCAACTCGCTCCGTTGCTCGGCACGGTGCTACACTGTGACGCGGTTGGTCGCGCCGCGCTCCTCCGCGCCCATGTGGACTGGGCCATCGGCCAATCAGCAGTCGACACGTGGCGTGGCATGTGGCTGGTGGCGTGGGCGGCGGGGGTGGACGAGCCAATAGAAGCGGAGACTGCAGCATCACTGCGAGAGCTGCTGAGGAAGTGTGCTGGGCTGAGGGCTTCGATACAGTCACGCGAGGATCAAGGGCTGGAAATGCTGAATGTGCTTATAGAGATTGCAGGGGCGTATTTCAAGCAGGGGTCTAAGGAGGAGATGGAGCAGGCTGTGTGGGAGCAGGGAGGGGTTGAAGGAGAGGGAGTGGCAGGAGGGGGAGAAGGATGGGGAGAGCAGGAAGGGTTTGGGGAGGCGGGTGCTGATGGGGAGGGTGTAGAAAAGGAGCAGGAGAGCATGGAGATGATTGGTGGAGGGGACCATGTGATGGATGCAGCAGGGGGGGTTGAGGTGGGCACAGAGGTAGAGGCTGTAGTGTAGCTGGTGCAGTAGTTGCAAATGTGATATGTTGTTGCAAGGGGATCCTGCGAGTTAAATAAAGGCTGCTGAATAAGAGTTTTCTTTAGCATTCATGTTTGCGGCTTCCATCTAGTGAGTGTCAAAAGGAGAACGCATGTAGCTTGAGGCCTGGCCAATCAGGCCGGTTTTCAGAATGTGAATAATTCTTGTAGGTAAGTGCGCTGAAATAAATAATAACGCGGCTCTTACCGAATGATCCTACAAAGGTGCTCTGACTGACCCTGCCAAGCCAGACTGGAGAGAAGGTGCCATTTGGATTACACATCCCACCAGCAGCGCGTCCGCAAGTCGTACTATGGACGATCCAATGTCGTTAAGTTTGTCTGGTTCTCCGAGAGTATCGCCAACATTTCTCCTGTCCGCGCCTCCTACGCCAAAACGCTGCAATCGTTCGAGCCAATTTCGACCTCCCAGATTTCAGCTGATGCAAAATACGTCCTACTTCTTGATTTGTTTCCGTTGAGGGCGTGCCGTACAAGTTCGTTTTCAGCTCATGAATCACTGTTCAGACTGGTGGGTGACAGTTCAAAGCGGTGAAGCAGACAAACCGCTGCACATGACATTTCTTCACCGCAAATACTGAACCGAAAGTGAACCAGTCTGACGCGCCCTGAGGATGCCATGTTTGCTTGAATCGGTGAGGAGTTATCGAGGCGACCCCTAGATTACAGATGCATTCAGTGGCCCAGCCTCCCTCCTCATCCAAGCCTCGAGGCTTGCAGCGAAGCGCGCGGCACTCGTAAGCTCGCCATGTTCAGTGGTGGTAGCGCTCCCAGTCCGAGCCCACTTTTGAGTCGACTCTGAAGGTAGCGCTCCCAGTCCGAGCCCTGTGTCGTCTCTTGCGCGTCGCGAGAGCCATCAGCGCTTCTCGCACCTCCTGCTCCACGACTTCTGAGTCGTCTCGAAAGTACCGCGCATAACCAACCGAGATTCTCTTTTCGCCTCTCCTCGGCCCTCCTCGCCCCTCCCCGCCGCTCCCCACCTCTGCTCGTCTCTGCCTCTCCACACCGATCACGCTGAGTGGGGCAGTCGATTTTTGAGTCGACTCAAAAATCGAATCATGCTGAGTGGGGCAGTGGGGCAGCGCGTCACACGGGCCTTCAGCGATTCTCGCTCCTGCTCGACGAATTTTAAATCGTCTCGATAGTATCGCCGCACAGCCACATCAGCACCCTCCCCGCCTCTCCCCACCTCTCCACAGCTCTCTCCACCTCTGCCATCATGCTGAGCGGAGCCGCGCGTCGTAAGGGCCACCAGCGCTTCTCCCTCCTCCTCCTCGACGACGGGGACCACTACATAACCGACTGGGTCGCCACGTGTCACCTCGTGGATGGCCAGCCGCGCGCGCTCGCGGGCGGGCGGCTGCGGCTGTGCATGAAGTCGCTCTTCTTCGAGCCGCAGGACCCCGCCATCCCCATTATAATGTTCCCCATGCCGCACATACTAGTCGTTTTCCACCCCGGGTCGCGCCGCCGGTACCGCTCGCAGCTGGGCGCGAAACTCGCCGCGGAGGGGCGCATCCGCGCGGAGTGGGCGGGGGAAGGAGCGGAGGCGGGCGGGGAGGACGGGGTTCGGGGCGTGGGGGGAGGGCGGAGGAACGAAGGCGGAAGGCTGGGGAATGCGTATGGGGATGGGGGGTATGGGGGAGATAATGGGTATGGGGATGTGGTGTATGTGACGACAGGCATGTATGTGGCGATGAAGGCGTGTGGGCAGGACGTGCCGTACGAGTTTGAGAAAAAGGAGCTGGACGAGGGCCACCTGCCGTCCACCTGGGCCTTCTCCCTTGACTACTCGCCCACCTCACGGGTATGCGTGCTTGTTGTGGGTGCAGCAACCAGGTTTATGCCACTCGCAGAGGTCGGAATCAGATGCTACTGAGGTAACACAACACAGCAACCAGGGCGGTGGGGAGGAGCTGGACGAGGGCCACCTGCCGTCCACCTGGGCCTTCTCTTCTCCCTTGACTACTCGCCCACCTCACGGGTATGCGTGCCTGCTTCAGCAGACCCCCACTACCCTTGTAAGACCAAACAACGGTAGCTGGGAATTACACCCCCACCACGTGGGTAGGACCATCAGGCTACTACCACTCCTGTAGGTCAGTCAGATGTTATTGAGGCGACACAGCAACCAGCCCGGTAGGAAGGAGCTGCATGAGGGCCACCTGTCTGTCTGCCCTCCACCTGGGAACTTCTTCTCCCCCCACTGCTCCCCTTCCTCGCGGGTATGACTCAAAAGCAAGGGCCACACATGGGAGCGAGATGACTTTTGAGCTTACTCGAAAGTCATCACGAGCAGAGGGATATGGATGGAGGTGTCATTTACAGCTGCTGCTGTACGAGCAGAGGGACATAGAGGTGTCACGGCAGCTGTCCATCATTTTCCCATACCCCATCCCCCATACCCTCCTCGCCGGTGCACCCCCCATCAGCTCCTGGACGAGGCCCTGCCAGTGCTGGGAGTGCAGCTGCTGCCGTACGAGCAGCGAGACATGGAGGTGGCGCGGCGCCTGTCCCTCATGGAGGCGTCGGCGCCCTTTGACGTCAGCCGCCTCGTGGACCTCTCCGAGCACATCCTGCTCGACTGCCTCGCCTCCCAGGTGCGCGTGGCGTGAGTCAACGTGAGTCAACTTGAATCAACGTGAGTCAACGCAAGTCAGCTCAGGTTAAGTTGACTCAGGAGTACTTCCTCCTGGACTGCCTGGTCAACAAGGCACGTGTGTACTGCCGTGTGAGTGAGTCTACGTGACTAATGCCCAGAGCATTTACAGCGTTGTCTCTGCTGCCTGCTTGTTTACTTGGCTGGCTGACTAGTGGAAATGAGGGAGAGGAGGAGAGCACAGGCTGCCGGTTGCCGTGGCTGCCATTCCATGACTCTACAGGCCATCTTGACTCTCCTTCAACACATGCTCTATCTGTGCCCGACCCGAACCTCACCTTCAGGTTCGGCCGCTGGTTCGGGAGCCGGGCCGCCTTGTGATCACACAGCAGCGGCTTTACTTCCAGGTGACATCTGGTGCAGGTGACATCTGGTGCAGGTGACATCTGGTGCAGGTGACATCTGGTGCAGGTGATATCTGGTGCAGGTGGCATCTGGTGCAGGTGGCATCTGGTGCAGGTGGCATCTGGTGCAGGTGGCATCTGGTGCAAGGGACATCTGGTGCAGGGGACATCTGGTGCAGGTGGCATCTGGTGCAGAGGACATCTGGTGCAGGTGGCATCTATTGCAGTTAACATGCCACTGCGGTTTGTTGTTGTGTGGGGTAGGCTGTGTATGCTGTGCTGTCTGCTGCTGTTCTCCTCGTAACGCTTCTCCCCCCCACCTCCACACTGCTTGTTAACTCCATGTCCGCTTATCTCTGCACTTGCCCCCTTCCTGCTCCCTCCTTTCAAGCTGCTGTGCACCTCTCACCTCACTCACCTCACTCACACATGAACGTCCCTCTCTTGCATCTTCCTTCTGCCCCTCCCTCCCTCGCACCTTCCCTCCAGCCCCATTTTCCCCCCTTCTCCTCTCTCGCCCTTCTCTCCTCTTTTTCTCCTCTCCTCTCTATCCCCTCGCTCCCCTCTCCCACTTCAACCTTTCTCAGCAGTAAGAGGGATCCCCATCTGCATCTTCCCGCTCCTCCCCCACCCTCTCCTTCTCGCCTCCCTTTATCCTCTTTTTCTCTCCAACTCCCACTCCACTTTTCACCCCCCTCCCCCTCTCTGACAGCCATTGCACGCCATCAGCAGTGAGAGTCCCCTTCGAATCTTTCCCCTGCCCCTCTTCTCTGTTCTCACCTTTTTTCCCCCCTCTCCCGCTTATTCCTCCCCCTCCCCCTCTCTCACAGCCACTGCACGCCATCAGTAGTGAGAGTCCCCTCCGAATCTTCCCCCTGCCCCTCCTCCTCTCCGCTGCCCGCCGCCGCCACTCCCTGCGCCCCCGCGGCCTCGAAATCTTCTTCTCCTGCCCGGACCTATCGCAGCATGCCAGCTCAGGGAGCTCAGGAGGAGGAGTACTGGAGGGGGGTGGTGGCACCGGCGGGAGAGGAGGGGGGAACGGAGCGGGTAGGGGGAGTGGGGGAGTTGGGGGTAGTGGGGGGAGCGGGGGGAGTGGGGGCGGAGGGCCGTTGGGGGATGGCAGCAGTGTGTTCTTTGTGTTCAGCTCTCAGGGGGAGAGGGACCGAGCTGCTGCGCTGCTGCAGAAGCTGTTGGGGGTGAGTGAGAGAGTGTTTTTTAGCCAATCTCCAATCTCTGTCTACGAATGCTTCATACCGCTCCCGGTTTTTCACCCTCTCCTTCTCACTCTCCTTTCTCCCGCCCTGCTCTTTCTTTCTCTCCTGTTTCTCACTCACCATATCCCCTCCTCCCACTTCCCACCCTTCGATCCTATGTCTTCACCTTTTCTTTCTCTCTCTCCCGTGTCTCCCTCCCAACGGGCATCACATCAGGGTGTGTCCAGCCCAGCAGCAGCGGCAGCATCGCTACTAGAGGCTCACTCGCACGCACTGCAGGCCGTCACAGGGCTGTGGCAGGTGGGGCTGTGGCAGGTGGGGATGGGCCAGGTGGGGATGGGGCAGGTGGGGCAGTGAAGTTTCAACATAATTGTGTGGTGGTTGGGGCAGGTGCGGCGGTGGGGCAGTGGGGCAGTGGCTGGCACGGCTGGGGCAGGTGGGGCAGGGATGGATGGCATTTCAGCATCATTGCTCAATTGTTTGCTCCCACTCCCCCATACCTTGTTTCCCACACCCAATCGTTTTCCCACCCTCTCCCTGTTCGCTCCTTCCCTCCCACACCTTGCTTCCGCGAGACAGTTATCCACTTTTTTGAGATGTCTCAAAACTCCCACCCTCTCCCTGTATATCCCTTCCCTCCCTCCCATCCCTGTCTCCTCATTTTCTCATTCACCTTTCATGAACCACCTCCCTCCCTCCTCCCTCTCCGCCCCTCCAGTCTACCCCCAACTATCTCCTCCTCCCCAACCTCTCTCCCCTCACCTTCCATGCACTATCCTCGCCCCACTGTCCCCTACCTCCTTCTCCACCCCCTCAGACCGGCCGCATCCCCAACCGCGACTATCTGCTCTTCCTCAACCTGGCAGCGGGGCGCACCATGTGTGACTTGGCGCAGTGGCCTGTCATGCCATGGGTGCTCGCGGATTACACCTCCCACCACCTTGATCTGAACGACCCCGCCACCTTCAGAGACCTCTCCAAGGTGAATGCCCTGCCCGCCCTCCCCGCCCGCCCGCCCGCCCGCCCGCCTGCCGCCCACCTCATCTATCTGTATGCGCCGAAGCTGCACTGCACTTAGGAGGAGGAGCAGTCGAAAGCAGAACTGGAAAGCAGCGCTCACCTCTCTTCGCCTTGTTGAGGATTCTCGTCTGTGTTGTTGTGCTGTGCTGTGTTGTGCTTTTGAGGCGACCCAAATGTAGTGTAGCCCATGGGGAGCAATGGCCACTGCCTCTCACGAACGACTTTTGTTGAGGTGCCTCAAAAGACCACTCCTTCTCACCACCCTGCCTGCCTCTCCTGATTTTTGAGACGTCTCAAGAGCCCATGATTACTGCCTGTCACCACCCTGCTGCTCCTCCTGACTCTGCCTTCCCTGCCGCTCCTCCTGACTCTGCCCTCCCCACGTCTCTCCTTCATCCCCTCCCCACCTCTCTCCTTCATCCCTCCCTCCCCACCTCTCTCCTTCATCCCCTTCCTCCCCACCTCTCTCCTTCATCCCTCCCTCCCCACCTCTCTCCTTCATCCCCTCCCCACCTCTCTCCTTCATCCCCTCCCCACCTCTCTCCTCCATCTTCTCCCCACCTCTCTCCATCTTCTCCCCACCTCTCTCCTTCATCCCCTCCCCGCCTCTCTCCTTCATCCCCTCCCCCCCTCTCTCCTTCATCCCCTCCCCGCCTCTCTCCTTCATCCCCTCCCCGCCTCTCTCCTTCACCCCCTACCAACATCTTTCCTTCACCACTTTTCACCTGTCTCTCCATTTCCTCAATCTCTCCCTCCCCACCTCTGCAGCCAGTGGGAGCGCTCAACCCGGCACGCCTTGCAGAGTTCAGAGAGCGGTACGACGAGGTAAAGAGTGGTACATTGCAATAACGAGTGGTACAATGAGGCAAAGAGCGGTGCAGTGAGTGCAGGAGCAGTGCAATGAAGCAAAAATCGGTTCGACAAGACGAAACCCTCCTTTGTCCGCCGTTTGCATCCACTGCCTTCCGAGGTGACTTTTGAGTCGACTCAAAAGTCACCTCGTTGTGAGTCGACTCAAAAGTCACCTCGTTGTGAGTCGACTCAAAAGTCACCTCGTTGTGAGTCGACTCAAAAGTCACCTCGTTGTGAGTCGACTCAAAAGTCACCTCGTTACCATGGCACACGACACACTTTGTCCGCCATTTGCATCCACTGCCTTGCAATATCTCCAAGCTCTTGAGTGGACTAAAAGCTCATCTCCTACCGCTCACCACCCCACCAACCCCACCCACCCACCTCCCCTACCCACCCCCCCGCACACACACACCAGATGCCTCGGGACAAGAGTGGGTCAGAGCGCACCAAGCCTTTCCTCTACGGCACTCACTACTCCACTCCTGGGTACGCTGTGCCCTTTCTGCTGTTGCATGTGTGTTTATGAATCACCAGCGCCCTCCACTCCAGTCCAGGATAGCTTCACAGTTCTTCGTAATTAATGATGACAGCCTCCTCAAGGGTACACTGAAAGGCTGGGGTTTACCGTCACTTCTCTTTCACTCACTGCTCTTCCGCTCACTGCTCTTTCACTCACTGCTCTTCCGCTCACTGCTCTTTCACTCACTGCTCTTTCACTCACTGCTCTTTCACTCACTGCTCTTTCACTCACTGCTCTTTCACTCACTGCTCTTTCACTCACTGCTCTTTCACTCACTGCTCTTTCACTCACTGCTCTTTCACTCACTGCTCTTTCACTCACTGCTCTTTCACTCACTGCTCTTTCACTCACTGCTCTTTCGCTCCCTGCTCTTTCACTCCCTGCTCTTTCGCTCCCTGCTCTGTTGCTCCCTGCTCTTTCGCTCCCTGCTCTTTCTGCTTTCGCCTTCTTTTGCATGCAACCACCGGCCAGCCATGCCATGTCTACCGCTGCATTGCATGTCCCCCGACCCTTGTATCCCCAATCCAACCCACATGTGTCACATGTGCCCCCAATGCATGCATGCAGCTATGTGCTCTACTGGCTCGTGCGCTCTGCACCAGCACACATGCTGCGGCTGCAGGCGAGTCTCCCTCCACACACACATATGCCTCCCGCCCACGCACGCACGCACACACGCACGCACGCACGCACGCACGCACGCACGCACGCACGCACGCACGCATGCACGCACGCACGCACGCACGCACGCACGCACGCACGCACGCACGCACGCACGCACGCACGCACGCACGCACGCACGCACGCACGCATGCATGCAGCTATGTGCTCTACTGGCTCGTGCGCTCTGCACCAGCACACATGCTGCGGCTACAGGCGAGTCGCCCTTATCTCTCTCCACCGCGCACTTAACTCCACACTGTCGCTTCCACACTCTTACACAGTGTGAGTGAACTCCTCCACACTCCCACAAACGCCTTGTGTGTCGTTCACAAAAACTACAGGCAATCTGCGTAAAGAAAGTGCTCGTGTCTCACAGACCACCTGATTGCACTGCTCGTTTACAGCTTTCCAGCTCAACTATCGAGTTGACTTTTTAGTCGACTCAAAAGTCAACTGGTTTACAATCTTCCAGCTCAACTATCAAGTTGACTTTTTAGTCGACTCATAAGTCAACTGGTTTACAATCTTCCAGCTCAACTATTTTACACTTACTCATTCCGTAAGGTGAACTTACAACTAACAACTTTGGCACGAACCAGACTGGCTGCAGTTGGTTAAAACCTTTATTTCTCTGTTCAACTCTCCATTTCAAGATTCCCTGCCTTTCCCCCACCCCAACACCCCCACCTTCCTCCACTCCCCCTTTTCCCTCTCTCCCCCTCAGAACGGGCGCTTTGACTCACCGGACAGGCTGTTTACGGGGCTGCAGGAGTCGTGGGAGAGTGTGCTGTTCAACGCCCCATACCCTCCCTTCCTGTCCCCCCCTCTCCTCCTCAGAACGGGCGCTTTGACTCACCAGACAGGCTGTTCACGGGGCTGCAGGAGTCGTGGGAGAGTGTGCTGTCCAACGCCACCGACGTCAAGGAGCTCATCCCCCACTTCTTCTCTCTGCCTGCGCACTTCCTCCGCCTCCCGTGAGTGAACCCGGGCCTGCCTGCCAGTGCTGTGCGTTCTCAATGTAATTCTTTCGGCGCCTGAAAGAACGTCAAGGAGCTCATTCCACACTTCTTCTCGCTCGCCGCACACTTCCTCTGTCTCCCGTGAGTGAGCACTTCAAGAAAATGCTCACTCATGGGAGACGGAGCCTTCCTGAGCCGTTTTCTTAGGCGCCAAGGGAACGTCAAGGAGCTCATTCCACACTTCTTCTCGCTCCCAGCACACTTTCTCCGCCTTCCTTGAGTGAGCCTACCTGAACCTACCTGAGCCTACCTGAGCCTACCTCAACCTACCTGAGCCTACCTGAGCCTACCTGAACCTACCTGAACCTACCTGAGCCTACCTGAACCTACCTGAGCCTACCTGAGCCTACCTGAGCCTACCTGAACCTACCTGAGCCTACCTGAGTCTGCCTGAGCTTGCCTGAGCCTACCTGAGTGTACCCTTCTTTCTAGTGGTATTGTGTTCTCCCTTTCCTTGCATCCTCACCCTTTCCCCCCTCCATTCCATCACCACTATGTACATCTTACCCTTCACATGACATGACATGGCATGGCATGGCATGGCATGGCATGGCATGGCATGGCGTGGCGTGGCTACAGTATGTCTATTTTCTTGATCAAGTGTCCTATTCGCGCCCTCATCCCCCCACCCTCTCTCCCACGCACCATCACGTTCCAGGTCGGACCTCAATCTAGGCACACGCCAGGACGGAGTGCCAATCGGCGATGTGGAGCTGCCTTTGAGTCAACTCAAAAGTCCCTCATCCCTCCACAATCTCTCCCGCACCACCATCACCTTTCCCCCACCCTCATTCCCCCACCCAATCTCCTGCACGCACAACCGTCAGACCAGACCTCAATCTAGGCACGCGCCAAAACGGAGTGCCAATCGGCGATGTGGAGCTGCCTCCTTGGTGCGTGCCCCCTTTCTGTTTCTTCGTGCCCGGAAAGCCGACTCAAAAGCTGCGTTGGTAGTGCATGTTGTGGTGCCACTGCCAAGGATTTGGCCAGCGTTTGTAGAATATGAGACATTGCATTGGGTCTTTGCTTGCCTTGCTTGCAGTAGCTGATGCGCTTCCGTTCCATCTGTTATGTGACCTCTCTTTTTGTCGCTAATTCTGCTGCGCTTCTGTTTCAAAACGTCTTATGTTTTGAGTCGACTCAAAACACAAGCCTTCACCTGACAACAACTGCACCCTAGAACCACCCCCATTCGTCTCCACCTCTCTCACCACTCTCCACTGTTGTACTCCTCCACTCACCCATTCTGTTCTGCCAGGGCAATGAATGCAGAGGATTTCGTAGTGAAGCACGTGCAGGCTCTGGAGTGCGAGTGGGTGTCGGCGAATCTCCACCATTGGATCGATCTGATTTTTGGATACAAGCAGCGAGGCAAGGTGCTGCTACTGCTCTCTCATATCAATCCCCAAATTCGGGCCATCTGATCATGCTACGCCATTGCTTTCTCTTTCCGCAGTGGGCGATATTTTAGGCGCCTCAAAAAACGTCTCAGCGACAGAGGACGCGAACGATGCGAAAAAAATGTTTCTGCACTCAGCTGTGCATGCGCAGGGGACCTTTGACTTAACAGTTTCGTATCCTCTCTCACTCCCTCACTTCCACACTCACCCCCATCCCTCACTGCACTGCACCTCTCTAACAAACCATTCTCCTCCACCCATGCTCGCCTACGAAGGCGCAGTGGACCACCTTTGAAATATCGTTTTGTATTCTCTCTGACTTCTCTGCCTTGCTCTACCTCGCACCAGGCAGCAGAGGAGGCGGACAACCTCTTTCTCCCTCTCACCTATGAGGGCGTGCAGTGCACCGTGACTCGCTCAGCCTGTCTTGTTCCTACTAACAGTCTTGTATCCTCTTTCTCTCACTCCCATCCCATTGCTCACTCCACCTCCAACACACCAGGCAGCAGAGGAGGTGGACAACCTGTTTCACCCACTCACCTACGAGGGTGCAGTGGACCTCAACTCATTCACTGACCACCTTTGACTTATCTGTTTCATATCCTCTCACTCCCTCACTCACTAATTCACCAGGCAGCAGAGGAGGCGGACAATCTCTTTCACCCGCTCACCTACGAGGGCGCAGTGGACCTCGACTCGCTCAGCAGCTTCGTGGAAAAGAGAGGCTTTGAGACCCAGGTGCGATTGACACCTCAGAAAGCACCTGACAAAGCATCTCCAGTTTCTGCCTTGTGTTCCATGTTCTTGCTAAGCGTTCTCAACTATGAACCGTCTGGCCCTCTTGCCGCCCACCTCCTGCCCCTCACTCACCCTGTTGCTCATGGTTCCCATAGTTTCTCAAATGCCAATTTGATCAGATCAACGAGTTTGGCCAAGCGCTGTGGCAGTTCTTCCTTCGTCCATCCCCACCGGCATTCTGAGTCGACTAAAAAGCCACCCTAATCTTCCCCATCGTTCCCCATCATTCCCCATTGTTCCCCAAATGCTATTCAGATCAACGAGTTTGGTCAAACGCCTCGCCAGCTCTTCATCCATCCCCACCCGCAGCGCTCCCCACGCGCCACACCCAGCCTTGACTCCCTGCCCTCCTGTGACCCGTCCACCTCTGTCCACCTCCTCATGCGTCTCCTGCCTCTCCTGCCCTCCGCCGCTGCTGCTGCTGGTGCTACTGCTGCTGATGTCACTGCTACTCCTGCTGCTGCTCCTGCTCCACCTGCTGTTGCTGGCAGTGGTGCTGGTGGCAGCACTGGTGTTGATTCGAGTGCTGTTGACTCCGCTCGAGCCACCAGTGGTAGTGGTGGCACTGGTTCTGCTCTGGCCACCAGTGGGACTGATGCAGCTGGTGGTGCTTCTAGTCGTGATGCTTGCAGTGATGATGCCGCTGCTGCTGCCGCTGACACCGGTTGGACCGCGGATGATGCAGCAACGGTACCTGGAGCAGCAGCAGCAGCGAGTGTTTTGCGTACAGAGGTTGGAGATGTGTCAGCAGCACTGGCAGCAGGAGAAGAGTCAGCAGCACTGGGTGCTGCAGTGCCAGGAGCAGGGGCAACAGCTACAGCTGGCATGATGAGGTTAGAGACAACTGAAGGAACGGCAACAGCAAGAGCAGATGCAGCAGTAGAAGGAGCAGCATCACTAGAGCCAGCAGCACCAGCACCGTCAGCACCAGCTGCAGTTATTACCAGTGTAATGCGCCAGGTCAGCGCCACGTCAGACAGCACAGCTGGTGAGGCTGAGGGTGGAAGCAGCGAGACAGGTGGCATAGGTGGCATAGGTGGCATGACAAGTAGTGGCGGAATGGCAGAGGAAGACGAGACGGGGAGGCTGAAGGCACTGCAGGGGGCGGTGGGGCTGGGCAGTTTCAACGCCAGGCGAGCGGCACAGGGTAAGGGTGCCACAGCCGCTGCACGTGCAACCAGCGCAGTGAGTGCGGTTAGTGCTGTGGGGGCTGTGGGTGCTGCAGCAGATAATGCGGCAGATGCTGCCATAGGGCCGAGATCCACACCGGGGTTTGCAAGAGAAGCAGCGATGAGGGAGGGCGAGGAAATGGTGGCTCTAAGGGAGTGGCTGGGGGAGGTTGGTGTGGCACGAGGGGGGGAAGAGCCGCCTGCCTGCTCGCCTCCCTTCTCCCCCACTGCGCCCTTCCCTGCCTTCCAGCCCTCACCTGTGGATCCTTTCTCTGGTTGTAGTAGCACGGGGTTGGACGAAGGAAGTGGCAAGGGGGGTAGCAACGGGGACAGCAGGGGAAGTAGCAGAGTGAGCGGCAAGGCGAGCGGAGCAGACGGTGATAGAAGCAGCAGTGAGATGAGCAGAAGCAACAATGGCAGCGGAAGCGGGAGGAGGAGGGCGAGAGTGCGGCGAGTGAAGGCACATCGGGGGCCGGTGGTGGCGGTGGCGCTGGCAGAGCATGCAGAGTCACACGACCTGCTGCTCACCACAGCGGGCGCTGATGGCATGGTGAAGGTGAGGAGCGATAATGGCTGGGTGAAAGGAAAGGTGAGGTTGGGTTCTTATGGCGTGGAGGTGGTTCGGGAAGGGCTGAGGGTTGGGCGTGATGCCATGGTGAAATCAGCCCGTGTTTATGCCTTTCCCTGCAGGCAGCCCCCTTCTCCCAAATTCTCTCCCATCCTCCCCTCCCAACGTCTCCCTCCGTTCCTCTCTCCCTGCAATCCGCCTTCCACCAATTAGGTCTTCTCAGTGAAGTCGCAGCAGCAGCTGAGGTCAGCGCGAGTTGGCAGCCTCCCATTGGCCAGCATGGCGCTGCTGCCGCCCCTTCCGTCCCACTGCTACCCAGTTGAGACTCCTCTCCCTTACAGTGCTTCCCTCCTTTTGCCCTGTGCAATGCGTAGGCAGGCTGTTATTCCTCTTACTCGCATGTCCCCATTCCCAGCCGTCTGAGAATTCAGGAGTTACCAACCTTCCCCATTATGCTCCGCTCTCTCCCTGCGTATTCTTTTTTAACGTGCTTCTGGGTATGCTCTTTTCATCTGGCCTCTCCAATATGTCATCCCGTGCCTCTCCTTCTCAGAATCCCAGCCACGCCTCATGTCATGACCCACGTCATCCCACGCCTCTCCTCTCCCCATGCTGCTTCACCAAGAGCATATCTCTCCTCCTCAGCTCCTCTCGTCACTGCCAGTGCCTCCTGCTATCATCATCCAGCCCTCCCTCTCCTGTCTTCTCAATCCATGCCTTCCCCTGTTCTTCCCCCTCTCGTTCGGATGCCTGCCGCCCTGATCGAACCACTTTTCTGCTGCCTGTACGATTCACCACTGCTCCACTTCTCCACACCCGGCCTCTCTCACAACCACCAGTCAGTGCTGCTGGGCTCTTCAGACGATCATGTGTGGCTCTACTCACCTGACTTCGGTCGATGCCTCTCCAAGGTACGCCATGCCTCTGTGTGCCATTCACATGATCACACTGTCATGCATGCACATCACCAGATATAAATAATAATAAGAATAATAATAATAATAATAGTAATAATAATAATAATAATAACAGTAGTAGTAGTAGTAGTAATAATAATAATAATAATAATAATAATAATAATAATAATAAAAGCTTTTCTCTCACTTCCACTCTTTGAAAGCTCCCCTATCCCCGTCTCCTGGACCTTTGCCTCCCACCCCGTCCCTCCTATCCCTTCCATTCCTCCTTCCCGCCTGCTCTCCCCACCCCCTTGCCTCCCGCCTCCTGCCTCTGCCTGTGTGCCACCAAATGCACACCGCTTTCCTCACTCATTGTGTCATATGTGCCCGTCAGCCAAACAAACATAACCTCTTGTCGCTTACTCACATGCACCACCTCCTTTCCCCTCCCTCCCTTCCCTCCTTTCCTCCTGCCCCACTGCTCCCTGCCTGCTTGCCTGTGTGCCATCACCAGATGCATGCACACGACGACACGGTGTCATGCATTCAGGTCAGCCAGTGGGGCGCTGACACGTGTCTGTTCACAGCATCGTGGGACGGCAGTGTGAAGCAGTGGAGCATGGCACACTCGCCCTTCCTCTCCGCCTCGCCCTTTGCCTCCTTCTCCTCCTCCTCGCCCCACTCCCATGGCGGCTCAGACACATTAGGTGAGGCTATGCAATATATGTGCGCCAATTCTCTACACCTTGCCTCCTCCTCCTCCTCCTCCTCCTCCTCCTCCTCCTCCTCCTCCTCCTCCTCCTCCTCCTCCTCCTCCTCCTCCTCCTCCTCCCCCACTCCTATGCTAGCTCAGGCACATGAAGTGAGGTTTTGCAGTGAAGCAGTGGAGCATGGCATGGCCCACTCGCCCTTCCTCTCCGCCTCGCCCTTCTCCTCCTTCTCCTCCTCCTCCTCCCCCACTCCTATGCTGGCTCCGACACTTCAGGTCGGTCCATACCGCTACGTCTCCCCACGATTCCACCCATCTGTGATGGAGCTCCATCAGATGAGGTTACTCTTGAGTCGACTCGACTTTTGAGTCGACTCAAAATTCACTACCTCTCCCCACGATCCCACCTCTCTGTGTTGGAGCTCCATTAGATGACCAATTCACGCCTAAACCGCTACCCATTCCTTTGTATTCCCTTCTCTGTCTCCCTCATTGCACCTTCCGTACACCTTCATCCTCCTTCCCATCATCTACTCCCCACCAGTCCACCCTCCTCCTCTAGCGGAGCTCAATCAGCATGACGCACCTATCACATCGCTCCAAGTGGCCATCCCTGCCACGTCAGCATGGCCCCTTGCTGCCTCAGGGTCAGCCAATGGTAAGAGACTGACAGCTCAGCGACAAAACAAATCTAAGTGATGGCAAACACATTCGGGGTTGTAAGCGCTTGCATTGAAACATGGAATGCGTTCGCCATCACTTTTGCAGCCTCGAAGGGTATTCAGTCACTGAGGTCGTTTTTGAGGGGCCTCAAAAACAGCCTCGAAGGGTATTCAGTCCCTGAGGTCGTGTTTGAGGCGCCTCAAAAACAGCCTCGAAGGGTATTCAGTCCCTGAGGTCGTGTTTGAGGCGCCTCAAAAACAGCCTCGAAGGGTATTCAGTCCCTGAGGTCGTTTTTGAGGCGCCTCAAAAACAGCCTCGAAGGGTATTCAGTCCCTGAGGTCGTTTTTGAGGCGCCTCAAAAACAGCCTCGAAGGGTATTCAGTCCCTGAGGTCGTTTTTGAGGCGCCTCAAAAACAGCCTCGAAGGGTATCCAGTCGTCATCTGCGTGCCATGGTGATTCGATTTCATTCAAGTGTGTGAGATTCAACAACTTGCTTTCGTCTTCACCACCACGCTTTCCCTCCTGTGGAATCCCCCTCCTGTATCTCCGTCCCACTCTCTCTGTCCAACAACCCTTCATTTCCAACTACTTAATGAGTCGATTTGTAATAGCTTACAAGTTAACTCCGGTATCTCAACTCCATCCACTCACTCTCCCTCGTATCCCCTGACAACCCCCCCCTCCCGTCTCCTTGTTCCCTGAACCTATCTTTGACCCCCCATCAGTCCCTCGTCCACACAATCTCCCGCCCCCCTCCACCTCTCTCCTTTTCAGGTGCTGTGCTGCTGTGGGACATGCGTGCGCCCCCCTCGGCATCTGTCCCTTGGAGTTGCCGCCTCTCCCCTCTCACCACCACCACCGCCCCCACGTCGCCACTAGCAGTGACAGGGCTGGTGTTCTCGTATGGGGGACTGCACGTCACTGCTGCCGACTCCACGGGGGGGCTCAGAGTGCTGGAGGTGAGGCTTTAAGGGCTTTAAGTCTCAGAGTGATAGGGCTAAATGTTCTTAAAGCCCCTCAGAGTGACAGGGCTAATGTTCTTTAAATAGTAGCGCTGCTCCTCACGGATGTTGACTCCACAGGGAGTCTCACAGTACTCAAAGGGCTTTAAGGGCCGGTGGTTTCTTACGGGGAAAATGCACTGTGCCACTGCTGCTCCCCACCCACCCCGTCATGCTTACAACGCAGTAAGCTTATCCTCTACTCATCCCATCCTCCCCCCTCCTCCTCTGCCATCTGGCTCTCAGATGCGCATGGGCGGTGCTGAGCTGGCATCTCAGCACTGTCCAGGTGGCGGCCTCACGTGTTGCCAGCCTCTCGGCGATCAATCTGTCCTCGCTGGCAGGTGAGGAGAGGAGGAAGTAGGAGTAAGCAGCACTTTCTGTAGACGTCCGGCCCTCTTTCCTCATTTTCCCTCAACGCTCTTTGAGCACTCCTCGTTTTTTCGAGGCACCTCGGAAAGGGCCTTCTTGCCTCGTTGTCTCTGCAACGCTCCTTTGAGCACTCTTCCGTTTCCACACCTTCCCCTTCCCCTGCCTTCCTCCCTTCAGTGATTCGGGCGACATTGTTGCATGGGCGTGGGCATCTGAGCTTGAGCTACTTCACCCTCATCTTAATGGTGCCATGCGCCAGGGTGCAAGGAACCATGGAGGCCTCTCCGGAAGCGCAACATGGCAGCAGCACGGTGTACAGTCTTCGTCAAAGAAAGCACAGGGCTTGAGTTTCTTTTCTGTGCCGATTAGCTCGTCTGGTGTGTCCTCCCTTGTATCTGCAAGTGGTGTGAAGAACTCGAGAGTGATGGTCGTGGGTTGTGAAGAGGGTTCCGCAGGCGTGGTATTATGATATGGCCTGAAAGCAGAGGCATACGGTATTGCTGTACATATCGTCTCTACCATTCTACAGATTCCTATACGGATATTAAAAGGTTAGTCCTTTCTCCTTCCTGAGCCTTGTTGGGGCATTATTTAGGTGGGGAGCATTTTGGTAAGGGTGTATCAATCTGAGGTCAATTTCTAGAACATCACAACAAACATGGACGTTGACCTTGACTAATTCGACCGTATTACACCGTATTGCTACAAGTCCCACACCTCGCTCCCGTCTGCCGCTGGTTCCGCGGTGGTTTTTGAGCTGGTCCGCCAGGTCCGTGTCGGACCCACATGGACGTGTCTCAAATGAGCAATTCACGGGGGTCCGAAACAGACCCGACGGACCAGCTCGCAAACCGTTGCGTGAACCAGTGGGTTAGGGGACCAGTAAGGGTATTACAAACCTGCTATTTGTTCGATCTAAAAAATCGGTGCGACTGACTTGGTTTGCACGGCAGACCGCGATTGGTCCGTAAACAGTAGTGGCTAGCGAAACCCATTCATGATTTCGCACTTGGCACAAAATTAAGGGTAACTCGATTCTATTGAGTGCGCAAGGACATGGACAAACCGAAACGCGACAGAATCGTGCAGACCTGCCCATGCCTGGTTCACTGCTGGTCCGCAAAATGGGGTCGTCGGACCAGCATGTCGGACCAAGGCTTTAAAACATTTGTACCGGACCATGTCACATTCGATATGTTCTTATGCTTGTGCATGCAGGACAAACATAGATGCTCCGTCAGATTCATAGTAGTAGCTATAAAAAGCCTGCTCTCTGGCAAGAGATCTTCAGGGCCCGCAGAGATCTTCAGCAGACGTTTTTCGATTCCTTCATTCGATACTCGTACAAAGTTGATTTGATTGTTCATCTTCGTGCAAATGGGGAACTCAGCGTCCAGAGAACCGCCGCTATACCAGCGCCTGAGGGAAGAAGCAAGGGCCAATGCCGAAACTGCTCGAGAGTTAAAAGAGGAATCGCGGGTCGCTTATAAGCGAGGGCAACGCGCACTTGCGAAGGAGCTGCTCGACGAAAGGAAGTATTACAAAGAACTCTCGGAACGATGTGATCGGGAGGCGAGCAGGTTGATTTATGCTAAACGCAACAACGGCAGACACCTTCGGTCAGCCACAATCGACGTGCGCGGGTTACTCGTCCATGAAGCGTTGGAGCGGGTCGCGGATCGCCTCTACGCAGCAAGGGCAAGGAACGAAGAGGAGTTTTGGGTTATAACGGGGCGCAGGCTGAGGCCTGCGGTGATGGCGTGGGCTGCGCGAAAAAAGCTGGAGTGCGTTGTTGACCTTCATTCCGAGAATGAAGGTGGTTGTGTGAGAATAATTCGTCACACAAACGAGGATTGCTGCATGCTTTGAGCCATTTTCTTGGCCAAAAGTGCATGCAACAGTGTTCTTGCAAATGTCCCTAAAAAAGAACAAGCATATCTGGTTCACTGCTAGTCCGCCAATGGGTCCGTCGGACCAGCAAGCCGGACCAATGGGTCCGGCAGACACCCTCGGTCTGCCACAATGGACGTGCGCGGGTTACTCGTCCATGAAGCACTGGAGCGGGTCGCGGATCGCTTCTTAGCAGCGAGGGTAAGGGACGAAGTGCGATTTTGGGTTATAGGGGGAAGCGGGACGTGCGGTGGCGGGAGGGCCGGGGTGAGGCCTGCGGTGATGGCGTGGGCTGCACGACAAAATCTGGAGTCCGTTGTTGAGTACAGGGATGAAGATAGTGTGAAAATAAGGGGTCTGCTTGTCGCACAAACAAGGATAGCTGCTGCATCTCTTGAGCGATTTTCCTTGGCCAGCAGTGCATGCCGCAGTGTTCTTGCAAATGCCCCAATAGAAGCATTGGCGTGCACAAGCTATTTTAATTAGCATGCCCCATTCCCTCTAGAGGCCCCTAGAGATAATATGTATATTTTCTTTTGTTCCTTTTTTTAAGGTTTTACAATAGGATTGCTCGCGTCCCAAGTTGCGAGGCCCGCAGGTCAGTCCACACGCCAGGTCAGTCCACACACAGCAGGTCAGTCCACACACACCAAAGCCCCTCCGCCTCCTTTCCTCTCCTCTTCTCCTCATTCCCAGAGGGTCTCGCACATTAGGTGAGGCTATGCTATGAGCCTTGCCTCTTCCTCCTCGTTGACCCACTCTTATTCTGGCTCCGACACTTCAGGTCAGGTCAGCCCATCCACTCCACACTTATGCGCCTTCTCCTTCTCCTCCTCCCCTCCCCACCCCGCATTCTTATGGTGCCTCAGACAGAACAGGTGTGTGAGTGAGTGATACTGTGCAATCTATGCACAGCGCACTCCCTTAACCTTCCTCTCTACGAGCAGATCTCATCTTAGCATGGTACGCTCGCTACTTCTCTTCTTTACTCTGCCCCCCCTCTCCCTCTTCCCCCTATTTGTATTTCAAAATTTTCACTGAATCTCCCAACCTTTCCATCTCCTTGAAATGGAGCTCCATCAGACGACCAAATCACACCCTAAACCTCCGACCCGCTTCTTTGTCTTCCCCCCCTCCACCCCCCTCCCTCCCTCATTGCACCTCCATTTTTTCTGTCCTCCTTCCCCCTTCGTTCCATACTCCTTCCCCTCTCCTTCCGTTCCGTCCGCCTTCCCATCATCGCTCCTCACCAGTCCACCCTCCTCCTCCAGCGGAGTCTAATCAGCACGGCACGCCAATCACATCGCTCCAAGTGGCCATCCCTGCCACGTCAGCGTGGCCCCTTGCTGCCTTGGGGTCAGCCAATGGTGAGAGAATGACAGCTCAGCACGGGGTACGGCTGTGTTGCCCTATCGTATGCCTCTTCGACTCTCGTGAAACACCTTCATTAAAATACATATGTCGCTTACTCTCGTGCTCTCCTGGCACATCTGAAACAGATGGAACACGAAACTTCTCATAAACCACCTGCTACCTCTCTCTCTACGTCCCACTGCCTCTATCCGTGGAAACCATGTCCTTTCGAGGCGCCTCAAGGGTCATCCTTAGTTCCCTCTCTCACCATTGCTGTTTCCTCTCATCTCGCCCTTCCCCCTCCAGGCTCAGTTCTACTGTGGGACATGCGAGCGCCTCCCATTGCCTCTGTCCCGTGAAGGTGCCGCATCTCCCCTCTCACCACAACCCCCAATATTATTCACTCTCTCACTGCTCCCACACACCCCTCCCCTCCCTTCCAGGCGCTGTGCTGCGGTGGGACAGGCGAGCGCCCTTCTCTGCCTACATCTCCCCCATCTCATCAGTCACTCTCCCACCTTTCCTTCCCCACACATCCCTCCCCTCCCCCAGGCGCTGTGCTGCTGTGGGACAAGCGAGCGCCCTCCGCTCCGCGGCCTGTGTCCCCTGGAGGAGCCACCTCTCCCCTCTCACCACCACCACCATAGTAAAACCCTCTCTCACTTCTGCTCCCGCACGCCCCCCTCCTCTTTCCAGGCGCTGTGCTGCTGTGGGACATGCGTGCGCCCCTTCTTCCTCTGTCCCCTCTAAGTGCCGCCTCCCGGCTCTTACCACCACCGCTCCCACGTCGCCTCGCCACTAGCAGTGACAGGGTTCTCATATGGGGGGCTGCCCGTCACTGCTGCCGACTCCACAGGGGGGCTCACAGTGACAGGTGACAGTAGTAGTGATAGCGGTGCCAGCAGTGACAGCAATAACGGGGCCGCTAGCACGTCACTGCTGCCGACTCCACAAGGGGGCTCAGAGTGCTGGAGGTGAGGATCTAAGGGCTCTAAAGGCTCAAAGGCTCACTGTGACAGCAGTGACAGGGCTGGTGTTCTCGTATGGGGGTCTGCACGTAACTGCTGCCGACTCCACGGGGGGGCTCAGAGTGCTGGAGGTGAGGCGCAGTGGGGGGCTCAAAGTGCTTGAGGCAAGGCATGGGCTTTAAGGCTGAAAGTGACAGCTCTAACAGTAGTGACAGGGCTGTTGCTCTTGTACGGGGGGGTGCACGTCACTGCTGCTGACTCCCCAGGCGAAGACCGAGTGCTAAAGGTGAGGCTTTAAGGGCGGTAAGACTCCAAGTAACAAAGCTTCTGTTCCACTGGTGGCCAACCAATAGGTGACCAATTGCTGTTTCAGGTGAGGCTGACTGGGCCAACCACTGCTGATTTCAAATGGAGGCTCAGAGTGCCTAAGGGATTGTGTTTGCTTACAAGGGGTTTCACCTCCCCATTGCCGCACCTCCCCTTTGCCGCACCTCCCCATTGCCGCACCTCCCCATTGCCGCACCTCCCCATTGCCGCACCTCCCCATTGCCGCACCTCCCCATTGCCGCACCTCCCCATTGCCGCACCTCCCCATTGCCGCACCTCCCCATTGCCGCACCTCCCCATTGCCGCACCTCCCCATTGCCGCACCTCCCCACTGCCGCACCGCCCGATGCACGTTGCGCAATAAGCCTCTTCACCATTAGCTCCTATCACACTTCTTTTTTAGGCGTCTCAAAGCTCACCACTTCACCTTCAGCTCCTTGTAACGCCAGTCATCACACTACTATTCCTGCTTTCCCCTCTTCCTCCGCCGTCCGGCTCTCAACATCAGATGCGCATGGGCGGTGCTGAGCTGGCGTCTCAACGCTGTCCAGGTGGTGGCCTCACATGCTGCCAGCCTCTCGAGGACCAGTCCATTGTTGCGGGCAGTTGAGGAGATGACGCTGGCAGTTGAGGGAAGGGTGAAGAAGAATCAGTTCTCATGTCTATAAGTGTCAGGCTTGTAATCCCTCAGTCCTATGTTCTCAGTGCTGCCAGTCTATCGTCGCTGGCAGGTGTGGGAAGAGTGAAGTGGGAGAGGAGGAAGTAGGACTAAGCAGCACTCTTGTATGACAAATAATGTCTCATTCTCATCGTTTGCATCTTATCATACGTTCTACTGTCTGCTGGAGCTTCCAACTGTAAAAATAGTAGCTAGAGGGTGAGACTAGGAGTCATCCTAGGGTTTAGGCCTGGCATGACTACCGAGAGAGTTGGAGCAAGAAAAGGTGGTTTCACTATTGAGCAAAGGGTACAAATATAGAACAAACAAGCAAGGAAAGGTGCACCACCAATGTAACACTACGCTAACTACTGCTACAAGCAGTTTATATAAGAAATATATTTCAACACCAACAACCTATCACACAGATGCAAATAAAGGCTGGTCACATGCAAGTTTTAGCCTTCACTCACACAGGTGTCGAGCAATTTGCCACATTCTCCTTTCTCCTCCCTCAGTGAATGGAGCCACTCGGCCCTCTTGCGTCACTGTCCCTCCAACGCTCCTTAAAGCCTCCTTTGTTTCTTCCCATTCCCCTGCCTTCCTTCCGTCGTTGATTAGGTCGACGTTATTGCATGGGCGTGGGCATCTGAGCTGGAACAACTTGGCTCTCATTTTAACCAATGGAGCCATGCGGCAGGGTGCAAGAGGTTTTAATGGCCTTTCCGGGAGTGTAGCAGCAAAGCAGCACGGTGTACAGTCTTCATCAAAGAGAGCTCAAGGCTTGAGTTTTCTTTCTGTGCCGATTAGTTCGTCTGGTGTGTCCTCCCTTGTTTCTGCAAGTGGTGTGAAGAACTCGAAGGTGATGGTCGTGGGTTGTGTTGAGGGTTCTGCAAGCTTGGTTATATAAGTTGATAGGATTGTGCTCAAAAGCATATTGTTCATATTTACTTTGCCATCCTGTAAAAATTGCTAGTGTACCTACCTACCACGGTTTATTAGCTGATATGCTTTTGTAAAGGCGAGTTCCTAATGACTACGTAGAATGTTCATCTTGAAAAAAAAAACTAGGGATGTATATGAATACTTGTAAAAATAACTGTAGCTTGGTTACAGGTAACCAATCAGCAGATCAATCGCTCGCATCAGTCGATCCATCATCTGCATTCCCGCCGTCGAACGCGGCCACCTTCACGCCCAACCAACTCCAAGATCACCTCGGAAATTCCGACCTGATTCTTCTCCATACCACACCAGCCCTTCCAATCGCTTCGCACCACCCTCCTATTCACGAATCGCACCAGCAACCTCTTCCGCCTTCCCAGCCAGCTGTTACAATCTAGTAGCAGGAATGAATGGACTATGAAAGAGTTGGGTAAAAGTATGAAACCCTAAAAAAGGGCTGTACCCCATATTGGCTACCCCACTACAGCCTACACATGTATAGCATGCATATACTTTGACACACCCCCATATGCAAAGTGGGGGAGAACAAGGGGTCACAAGACCAGTCAAAAGAAGCAAAGCAAGCTCAGGGTGGATCACAACGTCACCACACACACTGAGCACAAGCAAAGGGCCACAAGGCCAGTTCACATGCAGAGGTATATATGCAACAACAACAGCACAGTGATCTCTACCTAGCAGAGCAAGCATGCAGGTATATATATGGATCACAGTACAAGCAAAGTCAACAGCAAGTGAGGAAACGTGGGCACAAGGCCTAACAAAGTACAAAAACGCTGATGATCACCAGACGGAAGTGCCTTGGTGAATATATCAGCAGTGTTGGCCCGAGTGGCCACGTGAGCAAGACGAAGCTGACCACGCTGCTGCAACTCTCGAGCGAGGAAGTAACGCAGAGCGATGTGCTTCGTTCTGTGCTCCAGTCTGTGCTCCTGACACAAGGCAATGGCGGCCTTGTTGTCTACGTACAGCACTGGAGGAGAACGAGGCCGCTCTCCCAGTTCGGTCAGCAGGTAGGTGAGCCAGCGTAGCTCCTGTGCAGCCATGGCTGTGGCGTAGATCTCAGCCTCACAACTGGAGCCGAGAACAGAGGACGAGCGTGTAGACCGCCAAGAAACAGAGCCAGAGCCAAGGCTGAAGGTGTAACCCTGTGACGACCGCTGCGTAGCCAGGTCGTCAACCCAAGAAGCGTCCGAGTGCCCAGTGAGGACAACTGGGCTCCGCCCTCCAAGCACGAGCCCCATGCTCGATGTACTGCACAAGTAGCGCAGTACCCTCTTAGCAGCATCCATGTGCACCTTTCGGTGCCTACCAGGAGCCACGTAGCGAGCCAGAAGGCCAAGAGGGTACGCAAGGTCAGGACGAGTGCAGGTCATCAGGTACATGAGGCAGCCCACTAGCTCTGGGTAAGGACCACTCGGCTCTACGGACTCGTCCGAAGGTGGAGCTGAGAGCGAGTGACCTGTAGCCAGAGGAGTGTGCTGTGGCGAGGACCAGGTAAAGCCGAAGCGCTGAAGGACCTGCTGCACCATGTGTGACTGAGTCAGTGTGATGGTACGACGTGCTCTGTCCCGAATGATCTGAAAGCCAAGGTAACTGCACAGCTCACCCACGTCTGTGCACGTGTGTCACTTCTGCAGCTCCGACTTCACCAATGCGAGAGCCTCAGTGTCAGCAGTGGCAAAGACCAAGTCGTCGACGTACACGAGGATGTAGAACGGCGGCAGTGAAGTGTCGGTGCGCTGAAACAGCGACGGGTCAGCAGTCGACGGAGCAAACCCAAGAGCAGCAAGTGTTGTCTTCAGTGTGTCGTGCCACTCACGTGGCGCTTGGCGGAGACCGTAGACCGGCCGCCGGAGGCTCCACTGGGTACCAGGAGGGAACGACCCAGTGAAGCCAGGAGCGCGGCGCAGCCAGATCTCCTCGTGCAGGCTGCCCTTTAAAAAAGCTGTGCTGAAGTCAAGAGAGTGAAGCTCATAGTCACGCTGAGCGGCAACGTGCAGCAGCACCCGAAGAGTGGTCATCTTCGGGGTGGGGGAGAAGGTCCGAAAGAAGTCAACTCCCTCTCACTGACTGAAACCTCGAGCAGCGTAACGAGCCTTGAAGACAGGCGGAGAACCTGGCGGCCGCTTCACCCTGAAAATCCACATGCCACTGACGATGTTCGCCCCAGGAGGGGGAACCTCGTCGACGTACGTGCCTGTGGACTTCCAGGATGCCATCTTTGCATCCGTGGCTGTCTGCCACTGAGAGGAGTACTCACCCGCGATCGCCTCAGCGTAAGAGCGCGGGGTCGGGATGTCTGGAGCATCCGGGTCTCCCTCAGGGGCAAGCAGCATGGACACGGGATGAGGCGCAGCGGCTGCAAGACACTCAAGGTCCTCCTGCGTGTCCTCAAGGACGTCCGTGCCACGGGCACACTCACCCCCAACGGACGGAGGACAGACAGACTCAGACTCAGCAACCAGACTAGCGGCGTAGTCTAGACGACAGGCAGCAGCAAAGTCAACAAGCTCAGCGACTAAGGCAGACGCAGCAGCAGACTTAAACGACGGGTCAGTGACAACTGTGGCTAGCAGACGCGTGACAGTAGGGTGAGCAGCACGGACGCGGTCAGACACAGGCTCTGGAACGGTAGGCAGAGAAGACGCAGGAGGAGACGGCAGAGGAACACGCTGCGGAGGAGAGGAAGGACGACGGACTTCGAGGTGGGTGCCGGGGACAGCCGGCTGACGCGGACGAGGAGCACTACGACCGGAACGACCAGAACGGACAAGCGAGATAGGACGCGACGCAGGCTCACGACGCTCAGTAAGACCCCCTGTCTGCTCAGTGTAAGGAGGAGGAGCAGGCAGTGATGAGCCAGGCTGTAACGGAAGACCAGTAGACGAAGGGAGACTAAGAACCTGGCGAAACACAGAGTCAGGCGGTGGCTGAGACGACGGAGATGGTGGAGCAAAGAACAGGCGCGGCTGTGCAGTGCCACCAGCACCAGCAGCTCTAGTACCCCCAGCAGCTCCAGCACCTCCAGCAGCTCCAGAACCCTCAGCGCCAGCTCCTCCAGGACCAGCTCCACCAGCAGCAGCACCCCCAGAACCGGCACCTCCAGTCCCAGGGTCTCCAGCCTCAGTGTCTCCAGCAGCAGCACCCCCAGACTCAGCACCTCCAGCCCCAGCAGCTCCAGTACCTCCAGAACGAGCACCTCCGGGACCAGCACCACTCCCAGCTCCAGTGACGTCAGTAGAAGTACCTCCAGCGGCAGAGCCCCAAGCTCCAGAAGAGCGACCCTGACGGCGACCGTACCAGTCGTGCAGCTGCTGAGAGGTGAGAGGCACACGCGGACGAAGGCGGCTACTCCAAGGAGACCACGCAACAGCAGACTCAGAACCCTCAGCTCCAGCACCTCCAACAGCTCCAGAACCTCCAGCGCCAGCACCCGCAGCGGCTCCAGAACCTCCAGCTCCAGCACCACCAGCAGTAGCACCCCCAGAACTGGCACCTCCAGCTCCAGGGCCTCCAGTAGAAACAACTCCAGTAGCAGAGTCACCAGCGCCAGCGCCTCCCACAGCAGGGCCCCTAGCTCCAGCAGCTCGACCCTGACGGCTAACGTACCACTCACGCAGCTGCTGTGGGGAGAGAGGGAGACGACGACGAGAGTGCAGCGGCGAGGCACCAGCGGAGCGACTACGCAGACGGCCGCTCCAGGGAGACTGCTCACCAGACGCCTCAGCGCCCCCAGGTGCAGCACCCCCAGAC